ATTTATTTTTATAAGCCTTGTATCTTTGATCAGTTTTGTTTTTAATTTAAAATTTTTAGCAACATGATAGATTCATTGACATATTAACAAAAGCAATATAAACATCGAGACGGTTTATAAATTTTATTGGATTCTTTGGTTCCCCTATGGGTTTGATTCTAGTGTCAATGATGAGTGATATAAAGACAAAACTCATGTCTGGGTACTTATTTATAAGCCTTGTATATTGTTTTGTTTTTAATTTAACATTTTTACCAACATGAGTCTTGTTCAGGTATTCATAAGACCTCTGAATCAAAATATTCTTCAAAACTAAATTTTTCCTGTAGAAAATTTAGATTGATTCAAGTAACTTCGGGAAATCCTTAAAATTGAGATGTTTTATGAAACCAAATTAATTGTCAGTATCTTAGAGGTCCTAACGCTCTGGTGAGTTTAACTCTCAAGAACAAAACACATAATCTTCTTATAAGTTGCATGCCACAGAGCCATCTCTACTATGAGAACAAATAGCTTTCTCGGGTTCAAGTATTGCTTTTCTTTTTTTTTTTAAGTGCAACTTGTTTTTAATTTAACATTCTTAGCAACATGATATAGATTCTTATACATGTAAACAAAAGCAATATAAAAATGCAGCTGGTTTATTAATTTTATTGTGATAAACATTTAAACACAGTGATATGGCACATAAATAAACAAATCATTTAACAACTAGTTATCATTGTCAAGGTCTATTCAAGGAAAAAATATATATAAAATTGAAGGGAGGGGATTGGACAACACTTGTTTATACCCCCACCACCCATAATTATTTTTTAATTTGTAGAAGAATTATATATACTTCCTCTCTTTTTCTATAATGTAGTGTCCAACCCATTTTTTTTTACCTTGAATAGTCCTAAAGTAAAAAATCAATATAAACATGGAGATGGTTTATATGTAGCCAAATTGTCTTGCTTCCTCCCTATTCCCCACAAAAAATATAATGTAGTGTCCAACCCATAGTTTCCCCCTGAAATAGTCCTATGGTAAAAAATCAATAAAAACATGGAAAAGGATTATGAGTTTTATAGTGATAAACATTTGTGAAGTGATATGGCACACACACAAACAAATCAATTAACAACTAGCTATTATTGTTAAAGGCTATTCAAGGAAAAGTGTATATGGAAAGGTTTGGCTGTTTTAATACCCAACCACCCTTAACTTTTATTTTCATTTTGTAGCAGAATTGTATTTACTTTACTTCCACCATATTTAATCCCACAGAAAAAATATAATGTAGTGATCAACCCATATTTTTCCATGGAATAGTCCTAAGGTAAAAAAAATACAAACATAGAAAAGGTTTAAGAGTTTTATTGAGATAAACATTTGTACACAGTGATATGGCACATAAATGAATAAATCATTTAACAACTCTATCAATGTTAAGGACTATTCCATAAAAATGTATGGGTTTGGAGGGGGGTTTAAATACCTCATCAACCATAATTTTTATTTATATTTGTAACAGAATGTATTTTCTTTGTCCCTATTACCCACAGACAAAATATAATGATTGTGGTGTCCAACCATATTTTTTTTCCAGGAATAGTCCTAAAGAAAAAAATCAATATAAACATCCAGATGGTTTATTAATTTTATTGTGATAAACATTTGATCAGTGTGATATGGCACATAAACAAACAAATAATTTAACAACTCTATCATTGTTAAGGACTATTCCAGGAAAAAATGTATGGGTTTGTAAAAGGGGGGAGTTTAATACCCCATCCAATCAACCACGATTTTTATTTTCATTTGTGACAGAATGTATTTTCTTTGCCTCTATTTCCCACAGACAAAATATAATGTGATGTCCTCACCTCCCATGTTTTTTTTCCTGGAATAGACCTATAAAGGTTAACACAAGGTGATTTATTTAAAAATCACAGTGAATGCGGGTTATTGGTGATTCACTCTATAGATAATACTGACACATTTCCACCTAAAACCACCAAATTCCTAGTGAATTAATTATTCAAAACCAGCAAGAGTGTTTTAGACTGAAACTGTCTGATTGAACCACCGCTTTTCTAAAATTAGCACTAATTTAAAAGTAACTTAAAGAATATTGGCTGTACTATATGGTTCAATTAACATCTAGCCATCAATTCTGAAGAAAAGAATTGTTTTCAAATTTGTAAAATATGAGGCTGGGTGGCTAATAGTAGAATCAAATATACTTTCAATGGTATTTTTATATGTGGTATATTTTGTAAAAATCATATAAACCTAAAATTTCTGTAATTTCAAATTAATGCTTGCATTTAGAAATCTGATTGTAGTAGGGAGATTATGAAACTGTAAATAATGCTTTGATCTGAAATGCTTTATGTAAATAAATATAATTTTTTTTTTAAATAATAATAATTTTTTTCGATAATCATAACAATTTTTTAAAATAAATGCTATACATTTTGTGTACTTTCCATGTTGCCAGTTTTGCTTTATTATAAAATGAGATGTTCGAATGGCAATCAGAAACATAATATTGTTTTCTTTCCACTTTATTTTTTTCGAAAATTTTATTTCACAAATCATCATTGAGTAAATTTACTGACCATACCAATACAAAATTATCTATGTAAATTATGTAATACCTTGGTAAGAAATAGATTTAACGGAATAACAGTACTGTATTTGTAAAGCTGCAACTGTCAGTTGGGAATTAGTGAATTAGAAGAATTTGAAGAAGTGCCACTATCAGTTTAAAAATTGACGGTCTCAAATATCTATTTTACAGAATTTGATCGCCACAAATTCTGTAAAATAGATTTTTGAGACCGTCAATTTTTAAACTGATAGTGGCACTTCTTCAAATACAGTACTGTTATTCGTATTCTAATGCAATACTCTTGCAAAAGAACAAAATTGAAACATTTTAAATATCCCAGAAACCTCAACTGCGATTGCGCAACGTTGTTACTAGAAACCATGGAATTGATGGCGGACTTCATCCTATAAAAATTGGCATTAAGGATGTTTCCTGATCTTCTTTTGACTCTTTTTCAGATATTCGAATTCCTCTGTTTTTTTCCATGTAGTGCCATTAAATATTTTGTCCGCTAACCACTAATTTTATTTTTAATCATTTTATAATATACAGTTTAATAAGCCATTTTTGAAAACGTTTACAAATCCTTGTTATTTTTTCATAGTTTCTGAAAGAAAAAAAAGGTGCCAATATTGAATGTATGAAAAATTTAGAGATAATCATTTCTCGCTAAATTTTCAATGGCTCATATCTCAAAAACAAGGACACTGAACTTTCAATTTCTTTTCTGCGTTTTTCCTTCTGTCATTACAAACTATAGATTTATAAGTCTTTTATTAGGCTTGTTATCTTGAAACAGAGCAGCAAACATCCTTAAATGACTTATACTGCATTATAATTAAATATAACTATGAGGTAAAGAGTGTCAGTTAGAGAGACTACAGCAACCCTTAAACAAAAGTTCATCAAAATAAGACGTCTAGAGGTCATCATACAATCTTCACTGAAGGTAGAACATCTCAATTATTTTAAAATAGCAAAACATAAAAAATTCAATTGGCAAAAATTTAGACATATGGTAAATGATCAAAACAAAAACAGCACAAGTTACGATGGCCATCACCAAATTATTAGAAAGACAAATATAAGGAAATTAACATTAACTGACAAGATTAGACAGGCACAAATACATAAAATAAACTGTTGACACAGAGATATGTCTCGCTTGTATGTAATTCGGATATTAAAATTAAAATGGCAATGCTGACACTAGTACTATAACCAGCACGCCTCCACTAAGTCGTAGAGGTGAGACAAAAATTTTATGTACATGCAACATATATTGGTTGGTTGTGCCCTTGAAAAGGATAATGATCAAATAATAAAATGATTTTTTTATCAATGTCTCTGCAGAATAGGAAAGCAAGTAAAACATCATTCCATTACAAGGGTACGGCAAGACATGGCCTATTTATAGTAGCAGCTTTTTACTGAGTTGAAATTAAATAAAGCAGAAGAAATATTTCATTCTGTCAACAATTCTTGGTACAAAAACAAGATAAGAATATATTGAAAACATTATTCTATGGAAATTATAATGCAAACAGAAAACATTTTAAATTGTCAATAATCTTTGAACAAAAACATGAGTGAAATGTAAGGGGCGGAATTATTTTATGAGCATGTGTTGTAAAATACAAAAAAGGGCCATTCATAAAAATTAAATTCTATTGTGTAGCATTCAGTGAGCAAATTAGTCTATAGGCTTTGAAAAATTTTATAATACTGAAAATAATAACTGTAAATGTAGTCAAAGATTCAAGTTAAAATACAAAGTGAATCTATATGAATGTGGATTCATTTATTTTCGTGGTTACCAATTTTTGTGGATTAAGGGAATATTGTACTTTCATGGACATTTGATTTTGTGGTTTTGCAAAAATCTCCATACAAGCTATAGAAAATTTGAACTTCGTTAAACATTTAAATTCGTGGTTCAACTTTAACCACGAAATCCATGAACAGTGGTATCCCACGAATAAACCTGAATCCACAGTACCTTGCAAATAATTTTTTGGTTTTAACACAATTAACATATCAAAATTATAAAAAAAATCATTAATATTTCATAAAAACATGTAAAACATTGGCTCCAGTAACTTAATGATTCAAAGAATATATATTGTACAAATTAGTTACAGACAAAAATGATTCAATATCTCCTTTACCACAACTACATATTTTAATAGAATTTTTCAAATTACTGGCTTTTGATTCCGGAGTTTATATTTTTTCGACAGGTTACCTTCTCTGTGGTTGGACATTCGGTCAAGTAAGAGCAACTTGAAGAAGTAAAATCAACCTCACAATCGGTACAATTTAGGGGGGAAGTTTCTGTTTTATGTTTTCTATACATGACAAAATCATCGGAAAACAGTAACCCCCCCCCCCCCCCCCCCAAATTGCACCCTCGTTTTATATGTTTGATTTTATTTCTTTTGGTTGCTATAACTTGACTGAGTACTAGGATGTCCTACCACAGATAAGGTTACCTGTCAAAAATTATATAATCCAGAGTCAAAAGTCGGTAATATGACAATAGTCTATTGCAAAACTATTCTATGTGACATACAATGTACCTGCCAATACATAAATTCTAGGAAGGACTTCCTCTTTTACCTGTAAAAACTTGACATCTCCCTCTTTGGACTTGTCACCTACTGGGGAGGTCAAAATCTCACTCCTTAGAAAAATCTTCCCTTATTTACACCCTATTTCATCATCATAGACGGTGAATTTGAGTAGTTTTGACAGTATTTTCTGATTGGTTTTCACAAACAAAAAAACAATGCATACGTGTATTTGCATACTTGTAAATAGACATCCTAGGTCATCAAGAATGTTGCAGAAATCATTCTTATGTACACATAAAAACTGATTTAACCCAACCCAATTAGGCTATGAGAACCAATGTGTTGTTCATTGAGTTTTCAAAAATAAGATGTCAGGTTGCAAGGTTGCCAAATTATAATACAGTACTTTCTCAGTACTTCAAAACTGTTATACTATATCAGTACAATACTTTCACAGCACTGGATTTGTACTTCAAGTTGAAAGCAACAGTCTATACTTTTAATGTGTAGTACATGTTATGTAAAAACCTTTTTTGTACTAGTTAAATAGTTTTAAATTATGAACAGTTTCAGTAAAATTACCCATCAAATAATACTTAAAAAGAAGTGCTACATTATTTATTTAACCTTCATAGTACTACACTAAGAAGGTATAAAAAACGGGTACTTCGAATTTGCAGTACAACGCTAGTACTGTAAAAGTATGGTACTAAATTAGTACACTTCTAGTTTGAAAACACCACGTATATACATCACTATTAAGTTATTTAGGTATATTTTCAGTACTTTAAAATTATAGTACTAAATAATTATACATGCAAAAGTAAGGGTGTGGATGGGGGTTTACAGAAAAGAGAATAATGGGCAAAAAATATAAAGAATAGAGAATAATGAGGTGCTCAAATATAAAGAATAGAGAAAAATGGCCTAAAAAATTAAAGAATGGAAAAATGAAGGACCCCCATCCAGACCCTCAAAAGTAGCTGTGTAGGTATTGAAACAATCAAAATGAAATTTACAACTTGCATGACAATTTCTTAACACAAAAATAATTGCTTTTGAGACGAAAATAATGAAGTGTGTTAATCAGATATGTGCAATCATTCTATCCTGTTTGAAATCAAATTTTATTTCATCCGAAATTGGTTTTAAAAAAGGTCTTGTATCAATCAAAATAAAATTTAAAACTTGCGTGAGAGCTTGTTATCACAAAAATAATTGCTTTTGAGACAAAAATGATGGAAAGTGTCAAGTGTCAATGAAAGGTACTACAGTTCAACATAGTGTAAAATGAATTTGATGATGTCAACCATTTTGATTAAGATAACTTATTGCAATCATTCCTAACACCTATTTGCAATTAAATAATATTTCTTGTAACAATAAAAATTAAATTTAACTTGTTGAGTAGCCTTTGACAGCTTCCATATACCAATCGTGCAATTAATGAAAAATGTGATTTACCCGGAAAGAGGCTACATATTTTTAATTTTGATATTTCACTAACTAATTAGTGAAATGAACTATTATTATTCTCATACTGCCTGATCATAAAAGAAAATTGACTAGACATTTTTAATAGAATGCACTGCAGATTATGGAGTATTCTCCCTTCCCAGACTTTTCATAGTACATTTCATATCATTTATATCTCCCATGATTATGGTATAATCTCTGTATCCTTCACTTATGGTTTTTTATTGTCTTCTTAATTGGTATCTTCTGCCCAATCCCCTATTGGTATACAATATCAATAAGAATCAATTTTATAGTTATCTGTATCTCTATTAGACATCAATGTCAGATACTATATCTAACTACCACTGTAGTTCAAATTTAGTTACAGTAATTTTTTAAAAAATCATAATGTAGGACTGCAAACTCCAAAATATATTCCAGAAATTGATTTATGTATATATAGGTAGGCGGAGTTGATTATTCATTTTCTAAAGGCAGGTTTATGTCTCCTATTTCCAGCTGATGGTAGTTCTACCATCAGGAAACTATCGTCCACACTTTTCTTGCAGTATTTGTAGAAAAGATCAGCAGATTTACACAAAATATCGTCCAGGTCAATCTTCACACTGAAAAGAAAAAGATATAATATCACCATGTCAATTTTCACAATGAAAAAAAAATTCAGCAATTATTCCATTTATATAGGGACATAACTCCAGAACAGTGATAGTGATGCCACCAAAATTCCAACTTGATCTGTGTCTAATGGTAATAAGCATTGTGGGTGAGTTTCATAACAATTGGTTGAGGCAAAGTAAAGTTGAACGGAAACCAATTTCATATGTACATACGGATGTAAACCGTAATGCCCCCTTTGAGATAAAGGATACTACAGATACAGTTAAGTCTGCCTCATATCTTGACTTACATCTAGAAATTGACAATGAGGGTCGGTTGAAAACAAAACTTTACGACAAAAGAGATGATTTCAGCTTCCCAATTGTGGACTTTCCATTTCTATGTAGCAACATTCCAGCAGCGCCTGCATACGGAGTATATATCTCCCAATTAATCCGTATTCCTGGGCTTGTGTTTCCTATCATGATTTCCTTGATAGAGGATTGCTGCTCACAAGTAAGCTATTAAGCCAAGAGTTCCAAATGGTGAAGCTGAAATCATCCCTTCGTAAATTTTACAGACGCCATCATGAGTTGATTGACCGTTATGGAATAACCGTTTCACAGATGATATCGGATATGTTCCTTATGTTGTAACTACAATACCCTTCCCTTTTCACGAATGTGACTTACCGAATTAGACTATTTACCGGATTTGTAATAACATAAGCAACACGACGGGTGCCACATGTGGAGCAGGATCTGCTTACCCTTCCGGAGCACCTGAGATCACCCCCAGTTTTTGGTGGGGTTCGTGTTGCTTAGTCTTTAGTTTTCTATGTTGTGTCATCTGTACTATTATTAGTCTGTTTGTCTTTTTATTTTTGGCCATGGCATTGTCAGTTTGTTTTCGATCTATGAGTTTGACTGTCCCTCTGGTATCTTTCGTCCCTCTTTTGTCCATGACGGGTAGCATAAAAACAAATACTGTAAAATCAGAAATTATTGCGAGGTTTTTACTACTGCGAATAATTTGAGTATCGCAATAATAAGAACTCGCATTCAGATATCTGATACATATATCTGTATGCATATTTTCCAGAAATCGCAATAATTAATCTCACATTTATGTCCATTCTTCAAAAATTGCAATAATAAATGCAGGCAATAATTTCTGAATTTACAGTACCATGCAAGTCAATCTTCACGCTGAATAAAAAAAAAAAAAAATATCTTGCAGGTCAATCTTCATATTGAAAAAAAATAATTGAAATTGATATTTAAAATAGTACTTTTTGAAAAATTCTGTAGTAGATAGACCTTGATGATAGATCAAATCCCCTGATACAATTTTTAAATAACATTTCCTATGGAACATTCAGGTACAGTTTAGTAACATTCGGCCCAAAAGTTTCAGAGAAGATTTTTTTGGAAGTTTCAGATCATAGACAAAAGGATGGATGACCAACCGCAATAGCTAACGCCAAGTGTTGGCAACAGCTCACCTGGCCTTTGCGATTCTTTAAAGAATTATTTTTGGAATGCAATAATAGAGCTGATTAGTGATTCCAAGTAATTTTCCAATTTGAATCCTTTTTCAATTATGCAAAGTTCCCATTAGATCACCATGTGGAAATTGTCAATGAAAATTAAGCAATATAATTGACCTTTGATTCTAAGACTAAAGTGGGAGTGTTAATTGTTTATTGAATGCTTGCATGAAGATACAGCTGCCGACACCCAGTGATATTGTTTGCCTCAAATTACAGCCGAAATTCGGCTTTTTCCCCTAGAGAAAATTCCCAATTACTAAAAAAAATGGCTTAAAATTCCTCCCAAAAAGTTTTACATTTTCCCAAAACAGTGATTGCATTGGTAGTAATGTTTGTAAATATCGTATTCATGATATTATTTTGATATTAGAAAGCACTTTTGAGATCCGGTTTTCTGATCAGAATCATCATGGTGTTTGTAACACATGTGGTTTTCAATGCATTAAGTACCATCATTGCTTCTGTTTCTTTCCCCTCTCCGAAAAGTACCTTTCAGGTTGAAAATGTCTGACAACCAAAATATACATGAAAACAACAGTGCAAAAAAGACAGCAAAGGTCAGCAAAAATTCGAAAATGTGTTTAGAATAAAAAATACAAATTTCCCAATTTCCATAAAAAAGATGCATTTTTCCCAATAAAAAAACGGTAGAGGTAGTTTTGAAAAAAGACAACAATATCACTGACACCAATTGTGATGATAAAACAGATGGCCTTTGTATCAGTGCAAAAACTTAATTGCAAAGTTTGGATTTGAATTAGTAGAATCTTCATGTTACAAATGCTTTAGAATGAATGAAACTAACAAATCATCATGGTAACCAATGAAAAACTTACTTGTTTATTACAGTTAAGACTGCAGCAGTGTCTGTAATCTAGAAAAAATCTCCATGGTAACCAATATACAACTTACTTGTTTATTACAGTAAAGACTGCAGCAGTGTCTGTACTCTGTAACAAATCTCCATGGTTACCAATATAAAACTTACTTGTTTATGACTGTAAAGACTGCAGCAGTGTCTGTACTCTGTAATAAAACTCCATGGTAACCAATATAAAACTTACTTGTTTATGACTGTAAAGACTGCAGCAGTGTCTGTACTCTATAACAAATCTCCATGGTAACCAATATAAAAATTGCTTGTTTATGACTGTAAAGACTGCAGCAGTGTCTGTACTCTGTTACAAATTTCCATGCGATATGGTAACCAATATAAAACTCACTTGTTTATGACAGTAAAGACTGCAGCAGTGTCTGTAATTTAGAACAAATCTCCATGGTAACCAATATAAAACTTACTTGTTTATGACAGTAAAGACTGCAGCAGTGTCTGTAATCTAGAACAAATCTCCATGGTAACCAATATAAAACTTACTTGTTTATGACAGTAAAGACTGCAGCAGTGTCTGTACTTTGTAACAAATCGTCACGACATTCCTCTAACAAAGCTAAACACATGAACAGCTCAAATGTATATTCACATTCTGTATCCAACCTGGCTGTTCTCGTTATTCCACCTGTAATACACATAATGCAATTATATATTAAAAGAAAACTTTATTTAAATTCTGTACAGTTTTCAACTACAAAGCATAAGCTCTAGAGAGCTTTAAGACAACTCTAGTTTTGTCAAAAATTCGTAAGGGTTCCGCGGAACCCAGTTCTTGCCTACTTTTGCTGTTAATCGCAGGCTCAACAAAAATGAGGAAAAAAATCAATAAAAATATTCCTTTAGATACTATCTTTTGATTGTAAGAAGCTTCTGTCAAAGTTTGGTATAAATCAAGGATAGTTTATGAATCTAATAAATGTTTTAAAATCTTTAACTGCAGACTGTATTTAATGTTAACTGGAAGAAAAACTAAGTCCATTTATCAGTAAAATACGGATAAACAGGTACAAAATATTAACAAAATTTCCTTCTAGATACTAGCTTTTGATCATAAACAAGCTTCTGTCCAAGTTTGGTACAAATCCAGGATAGTTTAAGAAAGTTATTAAAATTTTAAAAACTTTAACCACAGAGTGAATGTATTGTTTCCTGGCAGAAAAACTAAGTCCATTTATAAGTAAAATACAGACAAGAAATTTTTTTTTTAACAAATTCACTTCTGGATACTATCTTATGATCATAAACAAGCTTCTGTCCAAGTTTGATAGAAATCCAGGATAGTTTAAGAAAGTTATTAAAATTTCAAAAACTTTAACCACAGAGTGAATATTTGTGGACGCCGCCGACGACGACGTCGACGGAATGTAGGATCGCTATGTCTCGCTTTTTCGACTAAAGTCGAAGGCTCGACAATAAAACCACCTTGCAAGTTTAACTTATATTCTATAATATTGTTGGGTTTCCTAAATACTGTGAAAGTATTTTTATTCGTGGGTATCAACTTATCTGTAACTTTTCATGTTCAACTATATACCAATTATCAAATCAATATTTTCAAGCATGACGAAAAAAAGTGAGGAAAACTGATTATTTGAGTGAATTTTCTAAGTCCAAGGACCATAACTCTGCACAAAATCATCAGACCAGAACAAAATTTGAACTTGATCTGTAACTTGTCATGATTAAACTATATACCAATTATCAAATCAATATCTTCAAGCATGACGAAAAAAAAGTGCAGAAAACTGATTATTTGAGTGCATTTTCAAAGTCCAAGGACCATAACTCTGCACAAAATCATCAGACCAGAACAAAATTTTAACTTGATCTGTAACTTGTCATGATAAAACAATACATCAAATATCAAATCAATTTCTTCAAGGACGAAAAAAGAAAGTGTGGAAAACTGATTTGCCAGACTGACGGATGGATGGATGGAAAGACAGACGGAGTGCAAACTTAAAGTCCCCTTCGACTTCGTCAGTAGGGGACTAAAAAGTGGGGGAAACCTTTTTTCAAACAATTTTCTATGTTCAACGACACAACTTCTGCAAAAATTACCCAAACTTGATGAAACTCAAACAAGATCTATTTCTTCTTACGATGTGACTTTATACTATTAAAATATCTCATTAATTGGTTCAAGTTTTATAAAATTACAGCAGCAAATACAAATGTCATGCAATTTTCCATGTCAAAGGGCAACACCTTTCTCAGTATAAGTAAATGCACAAATCTTCCAAAAGTTCATTAAATGAATTCAATTGATGCTGGCAAAATAGAAAGAAGTGCAGAAAATACAAAATTTCAAGCAATTCTTTTAGGTCAAAGAACTGCAACTACACAAGGCACAGTGGGACAAACTAGAACTGTAATTTCTGTTGATTTCAAAATGTCTCATCAATTGATTCAGGCAATACAGAGAGAAGTACAAAAAACACAAAATTTCAAGCAGTTTTCTATATCAAAGGGCCATAACTCCAAATATTACTCAAACAAGATCATTCCCTTCTAATTATGAAATGATAATATCCCTAATATCTAATCTAAAGATAGAAAACATCTTGGAGGGACAGATTGACTGTTCTTACACAACAACTGTTTACTCTTAGTCGGACTGTTTCCTAAATATATATAGTTTCCTTCAGCTCCACCAAAATGAGGATTGTAAATTAAAATGAGGCAAGGCTGCAATTCACTTGTAAACATTCTCATTTTAGATTTTAGATTTTATCTTATTATCAAGATTTTACAAACACTAAAAAAGATTTTGTTTGATTATTTTTTTTTTTATTCTTTTCATCATAAGGGGAGATAACTCATATAATTATTAATTTGAATTTAAATTATTAAAGAATGTACAGACGTTTTCCATTTTGTATTATACCATGACACATAAAGAGTAAGATGACCCTAATTTTTGTTGAAATTTTTGAAAAAAACATTTTATAAGAGTTAACTCATTTTATTTTCTTGAAATTTTTGTAGATTACTTTTCTTTCTGTTCATTTATCATTATGATTTTTATTATATCAGTTAGGAAATTTAAACCATTTGTTTATTTCATGATGATAATGGTGGATGGCTGTTTAAGGTCCAGTGGTAAATTAAATGCGTATTCAGGATGAAAACATGATAATGTGATATAAATAAAACCCTGCTTTGTACTCGATCGACATGCTGAGCCAGCTTTATAACGTGCTAGTTCACAAAGTAACAGTCCGCAGGAACACATGTCACCCTACCAGGACACGTTATTCTGACTATGAGTCAACCAGTCTTTGCTCTTACTTCTAAATTCTGCATTCTTTGTGATGAAGCAGCAAATACAAATCGTCAAGTCTTTGATTTGACCAGCTGGGATTTGAACCCAAGGCCTTCTGCCCTCGAGGCCAGCACACTACCAAAAGACCACTGATGTAGCTTGTTTAGTTAACTTTAGCTTTATGTCTTACAGCCGGACTTACATGCCTCCATAAAAAGTATCTATGTTATCCTTTGATACTGCTATCAAATTAAAGCAACTGATTTGACGACAGAGTTTTTCGAGTAATTCTGATGCATAACATATCATGCATAAGCAATGTCACAAAAACAACATGTTAAACTTGGAGGAGTTAACTATTATCTACGTCTGCTACTGTATCGTATAGCATTTAACAGCAAATACCTAAATTTTGGAATTCTTTCATTGTCTGTTTCCTACGGGCAGTTTCTGCCTCTAGAGAGGAGAGTTCCAAATGATGACTACTAAGTATCTCAAAACATCTGAGTGAATCCGGAAAAGGCATTTCTCTCTTAAAACCAAGTAACAACCACCTGCAAATTAAATATAGAAATTTTTTAAACTTGTTCCTTTTTACCTCTAAAAAAAAGAATTGAATTTACACTGTAAATGACAAAATGTCGAGAAAAATACTTTTCTCTTTTACTTGACTTTCAGTACTAGTATATATATATGTTTTTACCCCTAGAACTTTTTACAGCATATTTTGGATTCATATATTTTACTGAGTATAAGTTTTTGTGGATTAAGGAAAAAATGTATTTGCGGATATTTGATATCATGGTTTTGTCAAAGCCTGCATACAAGCATAAAGAAAATGTTTACTTGGTTGAACATTTAAATTAGTGGTTTACTTATTCCCGAGAAATACAAGAAAATTGGTATCCCACAAAAACTAATGAATCTACAGTAAATTTCTTAGGAATTTCATTTCATAGTTTTGCTGTTGTAAGAATTAAGTACTTGAAGTTCTTAAATTTGTGCATGCATTTATTTATCACGATTATTGCGATCGTTGATAAAAATCGAATAATGCAATCAAAATTTAAAATGCAAATTTTATTTTTGAAAAACTTATCCTGTTGCAATTTTAACAATACCGTGGAAATAAAAAAACCTAAAAGTAATTCTTTATTCACAGTACTTTTAAATGCAGATCTTCAACAGCAGAACAGCAATAAAAGCACAGTTCCCTATGTTTGGTTTTATTTCACCAAATCTCTTTATTTAACTTCTCTATAGTGGGTTTTTTTCCAAAGTAAATTAACATTTTAGTGCCACATGAACTGTGAGATGTAGAAGAGCAATAACACCACTGTTCCATTACTTTTGCTTTTCACAAGTACCAGTGATGTCCCCCCCCCCCCCCCCCCCCAACCCCCTTTTTTGATTGTTTTTGACAATTGTTTTGATTTTTTAATATATTCTGTTTTCTGTAATTACACCCTCCTTTCAAAAATCATGGATCTGCCCCTGAGAACATTTATTGATTGGTGTTTATAATTAACAACACTTATTATTGTGCTATTTCGAGGTTGTCAGTTTTTTAGTGGTGGAGGAAGCTTGGGTGCCCGGAGAGAACCACCAACCTCGGTAGAAGAAACTGACAATCCTAGTCAATTAAACATTGGAGTCCAGCACACCTGCCACATGTTAGATTGGAACTCACAACCTCAGTGTTGACAGATTAGTGATACAGTAGTTGGACTACTTAGATCACTCGGCCAACTAGACCCTACCCCCCAGAGAACATGTCTGTATAGGAATATTATGTCATGAATTAATACACCATAACCATTCTTCTGCATTATAAAATCTTGAATCATCAGATATTTCGGCCATTTTGGGGGTTAAGTCCTTTATCATAAACTCTTTAGGGCTGTTCCAAAATTTACCAGGAGGGGGGATGGAGGCACTCAAATTAATTTAACTATGGGTGGCTGCATTTTCCTTTATTAGTAAATTGTAAGACCTTTAAATACACTGAAAATTTTTAATATTTATGGTTATCAGTCTTAAAAAAAGACCTCCCATGCCCCCCATGCATTTAATTTTAAATTAGCCCTTACAATACCTTATGGTTTTAATGGTTTAATTAATTATCAATTACCTATGACAAAACATTAAGTCTCCCATATCATGTTGTCGTAAATGCTGAAGTAATTCTAAATCCATCTCTTCTAAAAGTTCCACAACCAGTTCTGAAAATAGAAAATGTGTGAGTCTTCCAAGTAAGATGTCTCCAAATAATAATACTTCCAAGTAAGATGTCTCCAAATAGTAATAACAGAAATTTCCAAGTTCATCTTTGAGTATTGAAACAACCAAAAATCATTCAGATAAAAATTTAAAATAGCAGTTGCACATCTTCATTTTTACAATGTTTTATCATTATAAAAATTGCAAAAAATAACAAGAATGTGTCCATAGTACACGGATGCCCCACTCGCACAATCATTTTCTATGTTCAGTGGACCGTGAAATTGGGGTCAAAACTCTAATTTGGCATTAAAATTAGAAAGATCATATCATAGGGAACATGTGTACTAAGTTTCAAGTTGATTGGAATTTATAAACTTCATCAAAAACTACCTTGACCAAAAACTTTAAGCTGAAGCAGGACAGACAGACAAACAGACGGACTAACAAATGAACAGACGCACAGACCGAAAAACACAATGCCCCTCTACTATCGTAGGTGGGGCATAAAAATCTTGAATGTATCTCTTGAAGTCGTTATAATTGATCTGACTTCGTGTCTATTGATCATCAATCATAACAAATAAATGTGGTTAGTGTCCACGTGTGGACACAGATGATGCCCCCGCTTGCATATCATATAGTTATAAAGGGACATAACTGAAGAACGGTAAAAGTGACGTTACCCAAATTTGAACTTGATCTGAGTTTTGTGGTAATTAGCATTGTGTGTAAGTCTCATAACATTTGGTTGAGGCTAACTTAAGTAGAGAACAGAAACTAAAAATTCAGCAATTTTTCTATTTGTAAACACGCATAACTCTAGAACGGTTGTGTATAAGTTTTATAACATTTGGTTGAGACAAACTAAAGTTAGAGAACGGAAACGAAAAATTCAGCAATTTTTATGTTTATAAAGGGACATAACTCAAGTTACAAAATGGAAACTAAAAATTTTGCAATCTTTCGATTCATAAATGGGCATAACTCAATAATGGTTAAAGTGACACTACCCAAATTCAACTTGATCTGTGTTTTATCAGTGGAAGTCAAAATTAAACATTGCATTGTATAAAGCATTGATTGTAGTTGATTCAACTATAATAATGGACAAAGGAAGATAACTCCAATTTTAAAAATTACTTGATATTTAGAAGAAAATAAAAATTTTGCAATTTTTCCATTTATAAAGGGGCATAACTCTAGAACAGTTAAAGTGATGCCACCAAAATTCAAACTTGATCTGTGTTTTGTGGTAATAAGCATTGTGTATAAGTTTCATAACATTTGGTTGAGGCAAACTTAAGTAAGAGAACGGAAACTAAAAATTTTGCAATTTTTCCATTTGTAATGGGGCATTACTCTAGTACTGTTAAAGTGACGCCAACAAAATTCAAACTTGATCTGTGTTTTGTGGTAATAAGCATTGTGTATAAGTTTCATAACATTTGGTTGAGGCAAACTAAAGTTTGAAAACGGAAACAAAAAATTTGTACTTGATCTTAGTTTTGTGGTAATGAATATTGTGTATAGGTTTCTTAATGTTTGGTTGGGGCAAACTTGAGTTAGAGAACAGAAACTAAAAATTTTGCAATTTTCCATTTATAAAGGGGCATAACTCTAGAACGGTTACAGTGACGCCACCAATATTCAAACTTGATCTGTGTTTTGTGGTAATAAGCATTGTGTATAAGTTTCATAACATTTGGTTGAGGCAAACTTAAGTTAGAGAACGGAAACAAAAAATTTTGCAATTTTCATGTTTATAAAGGGACATAACTCAAGAATGGTAAAAGTGTCGCCACCAAATTTTGTACTTAATCTGTATTATGTAGTAATAAGCATTGTGTATAAGTTTCATAACATTTAGTTGAGGCAAACTTAAGTTAGAGAACGGAAACGAAAAATTCAGCAATTTTCATGTTTATAAAGGGACATAACTCAAGAATGGTAAAAGTGTCGCCACCAAATTTCGTACTTAATCTGTATTATGTAGTAATAAGCATTGTGTATAAGTTTCATAACATTTGGTTGAGGCAAACTAAAGTTTGAAAACGGAAACAAAAAATTTGTACTTGATCTTAGTTTTGTGGTAATGAATATTGTGTATAGGTTTCTTAATGTTTGGTTGGGGCAAACTTAAGTTACAAAATGGAAACTAAAAATTTTGCAATCTTTCGATTTATAAAGGGGCATAACTCAATAATGGTTAAAGTGACACTACCCAAATTCAACTTGATCTGTGTTTTATCCGTGGAAGTCAAAATTAAACATTGCATTGTATAAAGCATTGATTGTAGTTGATTCAACTAAAATCATGGACAAGGGAAGATAACTCCAATTTTAAAAATTACTTGATATTTAGAAGAAAATAAAAATTTTTAATTTTTCCATTTATAAAGGGGCATAACTCTAGAACAGTTAAAGTGACGCCACCAAAATTCAAACTTGATCTGTGTTTTGTGGTAATAAGCATTGTGTATAAGTTTCATAACATTTGGTTGAGGCAAACTTAAATTAGAGAACAGAAACTAAAAATTTTGCAATTTTTCCATTTGTAAAGGGGCATAACTCTAGAACCGTTAAGTGACGCCACCAATATTCAAACTTGATCTGTGTTTTGTGGTAATAAGCATTGTGTATAAGTTTCATAACATTTGGTTGAGGCAAACTTAAGTTAGAGAACGGAAACTAAAAATTTTGCAATTTTTCCATTTATAAAGGGGCATAACTCTAGAACGGTTAAAGTCACGGCACCAAAATTCAAACTTGATCTGTGTTTTGTGGTAATAAGCATTGCGTATAAGTTTCATAACATTTAGTTGAGGCAAACTTAAGTTAGAGAACCGAAACCAATTTTGGGAGGTACGAACGTACGTTCCAAAATTGATGCAGACGGACAAGGGTAAAACTTAATGCCCCCACCACTACGGCGGGGGCATAATAAAAATACATTCAAACAAAAAGTTCTGATTTTACAGTAATACTCGTGTCCTGTAAAGTCTTATTACATACCAATCTTTCTGACCATGCCCTCCTCTGTGAAGTCTTCTTGTATCTTGGACATATAATGTGAGAAACACCAATAGGTCTCCACCTACAATAAATATAAAAATAAGGAGATGTGGTATGATTGCAAATGAGACAACTATCCACCAAAGTTCAAATGAAGTGGATGTAAGCAATTACAGGCAACCGTGAGGCCTTCAACAATGAGACAAACCCATACTGTATAGTCAGCTACAAAAGGCCCTGACATGAAAAATATGAAACAATTTAATTTAGAAAACTAATGGCCAAATTTATAACAAAACAATTTACGAAAAACAAATACAAAGACATGAACCAACGACAACCACTGAACTGAGGATCCTGACTTTGGACAGGTACATGAAGAATGTGGCGGGAATAAATGATCATTACAAATAGAAAATATAATAATTGAAGATGAAATTCATTTCTTTTTACATTGTGAAATTAACAGTCTTATGCTGTATCCTTGACATGAAATGTGGAAAACAACAGTAAGTCTCCACCTAAGACAAATATATCATTACCAAGAGAAGATAGATTAATTGAAGATGAAATTCATTTCTTTTTACATTGTGAAATTAACAGTCTTATGCTGTATCCCTGACATGAAATGTGGAAAACAACAGTAAGTCTCCACCTAAGACAAATATATCATTACCAAGAGAAGATAGATTAATTGAAGATGAAATTCATTTCTTTTTACATTGTGAAATTTACAGTCTTATGTTGTCTTGGATATGTAATGTGAGAAACACCAGTAAGTCTCCACCTAAGACAAATATATCATTACCAAGAGAAGATAGATTAATTGAAGATGAAATTCATTTCTTTTTCATTGTGAAATTAATAGTCTTATGCTGTATCCTTGACATGAAATGTGGAAAACAGCAGTAAGTCGCCACCTAAGGCAAATATATCATTACCAAGAGAAGATAGATTAACTGAAGATGAAATTCATTCCTTTTTACATTGTGAAATAAAGTGTTATGTTGTATCTTGGACATGAAATGAGGAAACAACAGTCCGTCTCCGCCTTAACAAATGATCTTTTAACATTTGTGTTACCATTCACAAAGCAAGTCTGTACCGGTAATTAAAAATATTTTAACGGGTTCTGCAGAACCCTCTCTCTTGCCTGCAATTGCTACTGTCAGTGTAAATGTTTTTTGTTTACGGTCTTAAAATAAGTCCATTTATCAGTAAAATTCGGAAAAAAATCATAAAAAATCAAACTTTTTGCTTTAGATGCTATTTCATGATCATGACGAAGCTTCTGTTCAAGTATCGTATAATTTAATGAAAGTTTTACAAAATTATTGATGTCTAAAAAATTTGACCTCAGCCTCTTTGTAAATGTCAAATGCAAAAAAAACCTATTAATCTATCATAAAAAAAGAAACTTGAAAAAAAAGTTTTCAAAATTTTGTCCTTGATACATGTACTGTGTTTTGATCATGTAGAATTTGGATGCAAACTAGACAAAAAAGGTCAACCAATTATAAGTAGGATGATACCCATGACCTCAGGTCATTTAAGACAGGTTTGCAGTAATTACCTCTGAATCAACAGGGTTCGTTAATAACATAAAATTACCTCTGAATCAAACACAACCAAGAACCTGGCTAAGATATCATTCATGCCCTGGGCATAACCAATCTTTGGATGAAATGCTGCAAATGTGGCGAGTACTTCACGTAATACTGTAAGGTTAGGATTCAATGGTCCCCTAAAAGAAATACATGTAAATTTATGGTTAAATGGACAACGGTCAAACTGTAAAGTAAATATTCAATGGTCCACTGAAAGGAGGAATTTTAATGTATAACAGAAATTGTCATGCCATCTTATTTTTAATTCCTGCTTAAAATACTGGGCATGTTGGCAATCTTGGTTTGATCATTTTGAGCTCCTCAGTGGTTTTCAATTTAAAGTGCTTGATATTTGTTTTATTTGTGAAAATTTTAGATTTTTAGGTTTTTACGCAAAGAATATACAATAAAAATGGCAACATCTGCCATTTTTTTAGACTGATGAATATACCAATGGATGGACAGATAGATGGATGAATGGATTGAAAAGACAGATAGATGAATGAATGGATTGAAAAGACAGATAGATGAATGAATGGATTGAAAAGACAGATAGATGGATGAATGGACTGAAAAGACAGATAGATGAATGAATGGATTGAAAAGACAGATAGATGAATGAATGGATTGAAAAGACAGACAGATGTATGAATGGATTGAAAAGACAGATAGATGTATGAATGGATTGAAAAGACAGATAGATGTATGAATGGATTGAAAAGACAGATAGATGTATGAATGGATTGAAAAGACAGATAGATGAATGAATGGATTGAAAAGACAGATAGATGTATGAATGGATTGAAAAGACAGATAGATGTATGAATGGATTGAAAAGACAGATAGATGAATGAATGGATTGAAAAGACAGATAGATGTATGAATGGATTGAAAAGACAGATAGATGTATGAATGGATTGAAAAGACAGATAGATGTATGAATGGATTGAAAAGACAGATAGATGAATGAATGGATTGAAAAGACAGATAGATGTATGAATGGATTGAAAAGACAGATAGATGTATGAATGGATTGAAAAGACAGATAGATGTATGAATGGATTGAAAAGACAGATAGATGTATGAATGGATTGAAAAGACAGATAGATGTATGAATGGATTGAAAAGACAGATAGATGAATGAATGGATTGAAAAGACAGATAGATGAATGAATGGATTGAAAAGACAGATAGATGGATGAATGGATTGAAAAGACAGATAGATGGATGAATGGATTGAAAAGATAACTGCAGTATACCACCAACTGCTTGTGGGATATACTTTAGTAAAGTTAACAGTAATAGAGGAGGGTCTGGATGTGGGGTCCTTCATTTCTGTATTCTTTAATTTTTTAGGCCATTTTTCTCTATTCTTTATACTTTTTGCCCATTATTCTCTATTCTTTATATTTTAGCACCTCATTATTCTCTATTCTTTATGTTTTTGGTCCATTTTTCTCTATTCTTTACATTTTTTGCCTAATATTCTCTATTCTGTAAACCCCCATCCACACCCTCAGAGAGTATATGCCAGGAAGTCTTTAAGAGAAAAATGACTTCGAACAATCTGAAGATATTCCCCAAAATAATTTTTTCCCACAAATATATGTATTTGAAAAAATATATTTTCAATACATACTTACTTGAAAAAGTCTTGGTCCCTATCAGTTCGAGGAACATCCTTATCTATCACTCTCAAATGGCTCCACAGGTTTTTAACATTTACATTGTGTCTATTCACCAGTACCTAGTAAATAAAAAAAATTAATTAAAAATTTAGATATATTTTTCGAGAAATAATTTTTTTTTATAAATACTGTGGATTCATTATTCAGTCAGGGGCAAGTAACTTTTAAAATTACCTGTACAAGTAATGTTGAAAACGAGGCTATTATAAATATTACTTATATAAGTAACTTTTCTAAATATTATTTTTATAGGTGTCCAATTATACAGATTTTACTAGCTTTAACAAATTTTAACAGTCATCTGGTTATTTCTCCCATGAAATATATAAGCTAATCCTTCTGAAAAACTTATTGCCTTTCTGACGCACTTATCTTTCATATCGATGCTTCTGGGTGAAAGATTGGTCTCTTGGGACTATTAAAATATCATTTTGCTTGAAAATCTTGAAGGTAGATAGATATAAATAGATAGAAACTTGTGATTTTATTAAGACTTGAAGTTATTTTTAATTTGTAACCCAAAACAATTACATATGTTCCTTAAATATTAAAGTGTTATTACTGATTCTTTCAAAGATGTGTAAAATAACTTATTCAAGTAATATTTTTGTCATTATTTTTAAAGTAACCCTTTACCTCTATAGTCCTCTCAAATTTAATAAATTCTTAATTTTATGATATAAAATGATGTAAAAATTCAGGAAAACTGCATTAAGTCCATGCTTCTATTGAGATTTAAAATAACTCTATTGAGTAATTTTATAATTTTTAAAAACAAAAATTACCTATATAAGTAACTAAGAAAAATAACTTGTTTAAGTAACGCCCCTGACTGTTATTATTCCTGAGGTATAAAATATTTGAATTTTCCAAAAAGAGTGTTTTTTTCACTATTAAGGGCTAATTTATCAGATGGAAGGATGGAAGGCACTCAAGTTAATTAAATATTGGTGGTTGCATTTTTTCTAAAATTTTGTAAGGAAGATTTTTAAGTACTATTCCTACCTGTGATTGAATTCTCATAAAATCAATTTTCTGTTTAAGTTCTGGGGAATTGATATTCAAATCAGGAAAACTTTTTGACATCGCTTTAAAGTCTGGGTCAGCTGTCTTCATCTTTCCTGCCATGAGATTAAACTGTAGTGTCTCAAACTCAGATATTGGGTCGTTGAACTCTCCGTCTGGACTTCTGACAGCCCTGTTCGTTGTGTCTATCTGGTACCTGGCCACTAAACCTTGTTCCAGTAGTGATGCTATAAAGTAAAGTAGATTTATCAAATGTATTGTATGTTAGGCCAAGAGCCACAGACAAGAATAAGAATAAGAATAAGAATATTTATTGAATCCAATTAAAGGGCCCGTTTCCGAGCATATACATATATATATATAGTATTAATTATACAGTAATTTTTAAGATATATCACCTTAAAAATAAATGATTAAATAACTATACTCCATATCAGATGGTGTTTGAAAATAAATAAAATGGAATATTAACCCTCTCTAATACGTAAAATTAAATAAACTACTGTAACATCACTGCTACATGTATATTTAGTTAGTTACTGGAATGCAAATTTTCTCTTATTTCAAAACAAGTACTTATAGATCTTGACACTGACATATTAACATTTTCAAACTCACATGACACGTCTTGAACATTTATCAGCATTTTAGCTCAGAAATTCAGATACCTTCCAAAGCACCTGAGATAATACTCAGTTTTTGGTGTTCATGATGCTTAGTCTTTAATTTTCTGTCGAGGTATTGTAGACTGTTGATTATCTATTCTTTTTTCCTTTTTGGTTATTGTATTGTCTATTTTCTTATTTGATTTTCATATCCACATTTTTAAAAATTCAAAATCTCCATTAACATCACTTGGAAGATAGATTCAAATCATGTTTTGTGATTTAAAATTGACACCTAGATATGGTGATGATGATTTTTGTTTGCTTAATGTACAGTGGCAAATATTTCATGCATGTTCAAGACGAGAACAAACTAACAATTAATACAAGAGGTAGATCCTGTAATAAGGGGTCAACTGGGATGAAGAGCTGTAAATTTGGAATGCCTCTGGAAAATGAGTGTATATTAGAAAGGGACAGAAATTTTGTCTTGGAACAAGCCACCTACATTTACAAACCCTCAAAGGGAAAAATGAAGGGTTGTTACAATGGTTCTAAATGTGTAAGTATATATAGAGTGAGAGCATGGAACTCTCTCTACACAATGCATCTGAATTAACGTCCCAATTCTTACCGGACATAGCTACGAATTTATACAGTCTGCACAGCCATAAGAGCATCCCACTTTGGCAAGCGTTTTAAATGCTGGTTGGAAGAAGACCAAGTAATGACCCTATTTCTATAAAGCAATCAACAATTGGGGTCCCAAATATTGTTACAATTGCCAGTTATAGGGTAAAGAACTTTCAATGGTATTTTTATACACAGAGTATACCTCCAGGTTTGGCATTTAACATCAGCATGGTCTTCCATCTTGATTTCTGTTCATGGTACTTCATTATATAATCAATCAGTATATCTTCCCTTTCTCTGTAACAAAACAAAAAATGTAAGCCGATACAAGGTGTGCTATGAAAAATAAAAATTTGAAGGAGAACAGAACAAACTCTTATGACAATAAATAAGGCTAAACTCACCATTTTCTGAAGCGGTTGCAGAAACATGATTAATCTTTGAATTCACCTATTCAGAAAATGGTTTATTCAAAGATGAATCTAGCAATGTCAAGGTTTTGCAACAAACTGATCTGAATGGTATTATTTGAAATATTTCGATGAATCAAATTAAATGTAATCATTTTTATGTAGATTGTTGCAAATACACATATACATATTTTTTGGGCTGACATGCTTGTTCAGTGTACATAATACGTCCATTATATTTTGCCCTTTCTTTTCAACTTCTCACAGTAAAAGATATTAAATACATCTGTCTATACAGAAGGTCACATGACGACTCCAATATGTTTATTCCGTGTGATCAGGTGATAATATGTTGTGTGGTTGCCGTCTTATTGCATATATTAATATTTACTCTACATGTACAGTTACTGTAAATAAATTTCATGTTTTGCCCTTTATAGATGACTTCACAGAAATTGATTTTGCGATTTTTAAATTTTAGTGGTGTATTTATATTGGGCATGTTAGGGACGATCCTAATTTTACATACATTTGTATTTCCATTATTTTCTACTTGCAAAAATCATTATAAATAAATAGGTTTAATAGCAGTATATTTTTTAAGTCAACACTTTAGTAACAGTACATGTCTAAAGACACAATTTTACCTTGATGTTGACGAGCAAGGAAAAAATCCAAACAAGAAATGCCAGACTTTCTTTCTTATACTAGGATCAACTCCACCTGTAACAGAAAAGAAATCAATTAAATGTAAAGCAATGTAATATTACCCACAAAACATATCATGCTTATGGAAAGCTACATGTAGTACTTTGCAATATTCTATTACAGTACTAATACTACATGTAGACACGTCATTACCACCACATTCTGTATGTGCCTGTCCCAAGTCAGGAGCCTGTAATTCAGTGGTTGTCATTTGTTGCTGTGTAACATATTAGTTTTTCGTTCATTATCTTTTACATAAATTGGGCTGTTAGTTTTCTCGTTTGAATTGTTTACATTTGTCATTTCGGGGCCTTTTATAGCTGACTATGCGGTATGGGCTTTGCTCACACTACAAACTGCTCAGAGTCTGAAAAGACCAGTTTTTGTGCTCAACCAGTAAAGTCGAGCACAGATTTTACTCAACTTGTCTCGACAGTACTTAACTGTACTCGACTTTGGTCTCGACTTTACTTACATGTAATAAGTCTGATTCAGTAATTAATGATCTTGGTGTAGTCTGAAATGGTCTCGACCAAGGCTCGACCTGTCTCGACCTGTCTCTACTCAGTCTCGACCAGTCTCGACCTGTCTCGACTTCTTGACCTTCAAGTTTAGTGTCAACTGGTCTGAATCAGCCCATCTAACTAAATTAGATAATGATAAAAATTCCAGGTTATTTGGCAGGGCTCACACTACTTCAGAATAATAGGGAGAAGAGACTTCTCTTTTTGAAATTGAGAGGGAGAAGTGGTGAGATTTGAAAGAGAAGTGCTTATTCACTCGTGGCGCTACAATGTTTGGTTTTTATACAATCGCAAAAAAATTTTGCAGTCGTATATTGGTATGATGTTGGCGTCGTCGTCATCGTCGTCGTCCGAAGACACATTCGTTTTCTCACTCTAACTTTAGTTTAAGTGAATGGATCTCTATGAAATGTTACCATAAGGTTCAATACCACAAAAGGAAGGTTGGGATTGATTTTGGGGGTTATGGTACCAACAGTTAAGGAATTAGGGGCCAAAAAGGGGCCAAAAATAAGCATTTTTGTAACTTCCAGACATAACTTGTGTGTTAGTGTATGGATCTCTCTGACATTGTACCACAAGGTTCCATATCACAAACAGAATGCTGGGATTGATTTTTGAGGTAATTGCCTCAAAATTTTAGGAATTAGGGGCAAAAAAAGGGGCAAAAAACAAGCATTTTTCTAGTTTCATGATAATAACTTATGTGTAAGTGTATGGATCTTTCTGAAATTGTACTACAAGGTACCATACCACAAAGGGAAGGCTGGGATTGATTTTGGGGGTAATTGCCTTAAAATTTTAGGAATTAGGGGCCAAAAAGAGGAAAAAAACAAGCATTTTTCTAGGTTCATGACAATAACTTGTGTGTAAGTGTATGGATCTTTATGAAATTGTACTACAAGGTTCCATATGACAAAGGGAAAGCTGGGTTTGAGTTTGGGGGTAATTGCCATAAACGTTTAGGAATTTGGGGCCAAAAAGGGGCCTAAAAACAAGCATTTTTCTAGTTTCCAGACAATAACTTGTGTTCAAGTGTATGGATCTCTCTGAAATTGTACTGCAAGGTACCATACCACAAAGGGAAGGCTGGGATTGAGTTTGGGGGTGATGAATCATAAGGGGGTTCAAAAAATTTGGGGGAGGGATTTTTTTTTCCTTTTTTCCTTTTTTTTCTTTAAAATGTTCCGTTTTAAATTGGTTATTTCTGATTTATATATAAAAGCAAATAATAATGATATGGTTTGAATATATGTAAATTAAAATTTTTAAGTTCTTAGACCACATTTGTTCTGTGTCAGAAACCTATGCTGTGTCAAATATTTAATCACAATCCAAATTCAGTGCTGTATCAAGCTTGAATGTTGTGTCCAATCTTGCCCCAACTGTTCAGGGTTCGACCTCGGCGGTCGTATCAAGCTGCGCCCAGCGGAGCATTTTATTACTATAATACATTAACAATGATTAAGGGCCATATGTATCTTATTTATTTTTATATTGTTCAATTTGTTCCTGGGTATACAATTAAAGTAACTGTTCAAATCTAAAGTTGTTTAATTTTATCATATCTAGTTGCACAATCATATGAGTCTTCTTTTCAGAAAAAAACAATTAAATATCTGGCACTGATAAAAAAGATTTTTTTTTATATCAAAAAGGAAAAGAAAGTTGTTATATCAATTAACAAGAGTGCACACGCTGAAATGTCTCGCCTTCTTTACTAATCATTGATATTATGTTGATAGTCCTAAATATAAAGCTTTATTACAACTGTCACATAAACTTAACATTAACCAAGTAAACTAAACATTGACCAATGAACCATGAAAATGAGGTCAAGGTCAGATGAACCATGCTAGGCAGGCATGTACAGCTAACAATTCTTCCATACAACAAATATAGTTGACCTATTGCTTATAGTTTAAGAAAAACAGACCAAAACACAAAAACTTAACACTGAGCAATGAACCTTGAAAATGAGGTCAAGGTCAAATAAAACCTGCGTGACTGACATATAGATCATAAAATATTTCCATACACCAAATATAGTTGAACTATTGCATATAGTATTAGAAAAAAAAGACCAAAACTCAAAAACTTAACTTTGACCACTGAACCATGAAAATGAGGTCAAGGTCAGATGACACCTGCCAGCTAGACATGTACACCTTACAATCATTCCATACACCAAATATAGTAGACCTATTGCATGCAGTATTAGAAAAAAAGACCAAAACTCAAAAACTTAACTTTGACCACTGAACCATGAAAATGAGGTCAAGGTTAGATGACACCTGCCAGCTAGACATGTACAATGTACACCTTACAATCATTTCATACACCAAATATAGTAGACCTATTGCATACAGTATAAGAGAAACAGACCAAAACACAAAAACTTAACTATAACCACTGAACCATGAAAATGAGGTCAAGGTCAGATGGCACCTGCCAGTTGGACATGTACACCTTACAGTCCTTCCATACACCGAATATACTAGACCTATTGCTTATAGTATCTGAGATATGGACTTGACCACGAAAACTTAACCTTGTTCACTGATCCATGAAATGAGGTCGAGGTCAAGTGAAAACTGTCTGACGGGCATGAGGACCTTGCAAGGTACGCACATACCAAATATAGTTATCCTATTACTTATAATAAGAGAGAATTTAACATTACAAAAAATCTTAACTTTTTTTTCAAGTAGTCACTGAACCATGAAAATGAGGTCAAGGACATTGGACATGTGACTGACGGAAACTTCGTAACATGAGGCATCCATATACAAAGTATGAAGCATCCGGCCAGACCTTCCACCTAAAATATAAAGCTTTTAAGAAGTTAGCTAACGCCGCCGCCGCCGGATCACTATCCCTATGTCGAGCTTTCTGCGACAAAAGTCGCAGGCTTGACAAAAAACTACTCTGTTATCATGGTTATCATGTTCATGAGACCGAGTATTTCTCATTAAAAAGATATATAAATTTAACAGTTTAGTCCCAGAGTTGTGAGCAACTTTAGATTATAAATTGAAACAATGCATATACATGGAAATATATACCTTAATCAAGAAGATCTAACCAAAAGTATGTTAATTCGTGTGCAATGCGTAATTTTTCCATTTGGGATCAATTTTTGTCTGTCAGCAGTGCCATTCATGCGTCCGTAGTCATTATCGTAAAAATCAGGATTTTGGTCATAGTAAGTCCGTTTCCTATGAAATCCCAACTCCGATCCGTAGTTGTACAATAATATGCCCAATAATTTAAATGGCAGACGAAGAAAAATTTACAAAAAATAAACTATGTTTGACACGCTATTTGGAAAGGAATATGACGTTTTTAATGCCATACAAGGATAACAAATTTACTTCAGACAAATTTCATCAAGTTCTAATGAAGTAGCAACTTATTTTGCCGAAATTTAGAATGATTTGATGTACGCTTTCCGAGTAACAAGTACCGGAAGTGATAAAAAATTGTTTTTATGAAATAACATGCCACCAACTTTGAAGTCAATGCTCTAACCTCTTTTCTGAAGAAAATAAATCGTTTATGCCTTGAATTTCTTTACTTTTAAATGAAAAATTGCTGTTTCATCGTCTTGGTAAAAATTGAATATTGCCGATGACGAAAGCGACTGAAAGCGAGTATCGTAAACCACAGGGCGACTTGTTTTGGCTTTTGAAGGTCGGGCAAAGCGAAGTGATGGACAGGAAAGCGACTTCTTCGCCCTAGTCGCCTGGTAGCGTGAGCCCTAATTTGGTAGTTGGTTCATTGCTGGGAAATTAATGAAGTAAATTAATAGTTAAAAAAAAAGCAAGAATTTTCAGTTTTGACTAAATTTAGATAGTCGTCTTTAATTATTTCTATAACTTTTTCAAATCAACTTGGATTTTCCTAAAACTATACAGCTATCTCAATTATACATTGATCTTACTGAATCCCAGGTCGTTATGTAGTTTGGTGTATTGCTGTCAAATTTAAGAATTAAATTAAATCAATAGGTAAAAAAAAGCTAGAATTTTCAGTTGGACTGAATTCAGCTAGTCAACTTTAAATTTGTTTATTATTTTTTTCAAATTGACTTGGATTTTCATATAACTATACAGCTATCTCAGTTGTATATTGATCTTACTGAATCCCAGGTCATTATGTAGTTTGGTGTATTGCTGTCAAATTTAAAGATTAAATTAATAGGTAAAAAAAAGAGATATTTTTCATTTTGGTTAAATTCAGATAGTCAACTTTAATTATTTCTATAACTTTTTCAAATCAACTCGGATTTTCATCAAACTCTACATCTATCTCAATTATACATTGATCTTACTGAATCCCATGTTGTTATGTAGTTTGGTGTATTGCTGTCAAATTAAAGGATTTAATTAATAGGTAAAAAAAAAGCTAGAATTTTCAGTTGGACTGCATTCAGATAGTTAACTTTAAATTTGTTCATTACTTTTTTCAAATTAACTTGAATTTTCATAAAACTATACAGCTATCTCAGTTGTATATTGATCTTACTAACTCCCAGGTTGTTATGTTGTTTGGCATATTGCTGTCAAATTTAAGGATTTAATTAATCAAGGTTAAAAAAGCTAGAATTTTCAGATTGAACTAAATTCAGATAGTTATCCTTAAATTTTTTTATAACTGTTTCAAAGCAACTTGGGTTTTCATCAAAATCTACAGCTATCTCCATTATAAATTTATCTTAAAAAATACCAGTTTATTTGTTAATTTGGTTTATTACTGTCAAATTTAAATATTTAAATTATAAGTATCTGTCTGAATTTAGTCAAAACTGAAAATTTCAGCCTTTTTAACCTATTACCTAATTCCTTTAATTTGACAGCAATACACTAAAATACAAAACAACCTGTCATTCTGTAAGATAAATATATAATAAAGATAGCTGAAAATGTTGATGAAAATTCATACTGATTTGGTCGAGACTGAGTCGAGACTGGTCTAGACCGGTCGAGACAGGTCGAGCCTTGGTTGAGACCATTTCAGACAGCACAAAGATCATCAATTACTGAATCAGACTTGTTAAGTAAAGTCGAGACCAAAGTCGAGTAAAATCTGTGTTCGACTTTACTGGTAGAGCACAAAAACTGGTCTTTTCAGACTCATTGTTATAGACCGTACGGTGAACTATAGTTGTTAATTTCTGTGTCATTTGGTCTCTTGTGGAGAGTTGTCTCATTGGCAATCATACCACATCTTCTTTTTATATGTGTTTGCACAGCTACAGTATTCAAGTTTTGCTATGCAATAAAAGGATTTTTTAACCAATAAATATTTCATATACATGTATGAGTTGTGAGGAAATGTTCTGCTTAAATTGAAACATGAACGTTTAAACCATTTTCTAGGATAAAAAATCTGAAACCCTACAATGCCCTTGATGTAATTACCCATAATACACCACAATGTTTACATATATAAATACCCATAAATACAGCTTTCCTCAGAGCATGCTCATCCACAATTCTACCATCCTCGTCAAACATCATTTCAAATTCTTCTTTACATAAAGGTTTCTCCCGTTTAAATGCCGGACTAAACGTTCCACTCAGTTGACTAGTTCCAATAGGTATGGTTTGTGTACAATCTAGATGTAAAGTGGATTTTTTCTTATTTTTTACAGCCTCATCATTAACACTACTATCACAAAAATCATGATGATCAGCAGACAACAAATCTGCTGCATTACATACATGTATTTGTGCATTGTCTTGACTTTGGTATGATTGACTAGTATTTTGACGTGAGCATTCATTTTTTTGACTAGATTGAGTATTTTGACTCTGATTATTTGTAACTTCACTCTTGTGAATGTTACAAGTATTTATACTTGTGCCATTCAAATTTTCAACACTTTGAAAACTGTCTTCTGATTGTGGGGGCCTAGATTGTTCCAACACTCTGCCTGAGTGGGATCCATTAAATTGTTCTGTGCCTTGAATGCAGTTATCTCCCTTTCCAATAGCCCCGTCTTTACAAATTGCAGAGTTATCTCCACTTTGAACAAGTACCTGTTTGTCTAGACATTTTTGCCTTTCTGACTTGCAAGAAGCACAGGTTATACTATCATGTTTAACATTTAAGCTTTCACCGGTGAACTTGAAATGGTTAAAATTATCAAAGTCCTCTTCTTTGATATTGTTTCCTACACAACTGCATTCTCCTTCTTCATTTTGTACTGCATGCTTTGAAATAGGATCAATAAAAGATATGCTATCCTTTTTAACCGAACAATCCTTCACATCTTCTTCTGTTTGACCTTTGACCTGAGCCTTGCCATGCTGTGTTTGTCCTATTGCTGACCTGACAGACGTCTTTATTTGTTTTTTTTTATATTCTGTATTAGTTTCATCAACTACAAATTTAGAAAGATCTATATTCTTCCCACATTGGTCTAAAGCTGAATGAAAAACCTGAAGGTCAGGACGATTTTCATCTATGATGGCTCCGTCCTCTTTGGCTTCGGTAGCAATATCTGGAATGACATACTCGGCTGTTTCTTCCAAGGCATCAACAAACTCAAACGATTCCTCTTCATCACTGGACAATCTAAAATAATAGTAGAGATTCAGTCAAAAATTACACTTACTTGAGTTGATGTACAAGTAATCTTTATTTACTTGAAGAAGTAAATACAATAAACTTAATATATAGGTTAATTATAATGTTTGAATAATCTCCCTTTAACATGTTTAATTTTCTCAAAAATTTACTTGTATAAGTAATTTTTTTACAATCCCACAAAAATTCTCAAGTTTTGAAATGTAAAATCATGCCTTTAACAATTTTTCTCAGGTTAGCTCATAATTTTTGATAAGAGTTCAAGGTTTCATTTCATTAATTCAACAAAGAAACTGATTGCTCAAAGATTTTAAGTATTTGCGCAAGGCCTTAAAAAATTGCCCCTTGGGGGGCTTGTAAATGAGCAGTGTTCTGAAGATTGAACAGACAAATGAGATTTTCATTGTCCATGAAATTACACTTAAATTATTAGTAAAGACATCTGCAAAAAGTAAATTTATCACAAAAATGAGGAAAATTCAAAAAGGAAAGTCCCTAATCAAATGGCAAAATCAAAAGCTCAAAAACATCAAACGAAAGGATAACAACTGTCATATTCCTGACTTGGTACCAGGCATTTTCTCATGTAGAAAATGGTGGATTAAACCTGGTTTTCAAGCTAGCTAAACCTCTCACTTGTGTGACAGTCGCATCAAATTCCATTATATTGACAACTATGTGTGAACAAAACAAACAGACACAATAGGTAAAAAAATGTCACAAATAGGGGTACAACAGCAACACGAACCCCACCAAAAACTGGACAGACAATTCAAAATTCTGTTAGAGCAAAGAAGTTCTAAGAATTCAAGAAAAGAAGATAGGATGACTTTTTTACTTGTATAAGTAAAAAATTCTGAATGTCTAAGGGACATAACTAGGGCAAAAAATAATTTACCTATACAAGTAAATAAAATACACTTGTATAAGTATCCTACAAATTTACTTATATCAGTATATTAATATTTACTTCTTTAAGTAAATAAAAATAACTTGTACAAGTAGTACCCCTAACTGAGGGTCTGGATGGGGGTCCTTCATTTCTGTATTCGTTAATTTATTGGGCAATTTTTCTCTATTCTTTATACTTTTTGCCCATTATCTTCTATTCTTTATATTTTAGCACCTCATTTTTCTCAATTATTTATTTTTTGGTGCATATTTTTCTCTATTCTTTATATTTTACAAAATGTAGCACCTCATTATTCTCAATTCTTTATTTTTTGGTTCATATTTTTCTCTATTCTTTATATTTTTTGCCCATTATTCTCTATTCTGTAAACCCCCATCCACACCCTCGTTGAATCCTTGTGATATGTCAGCTGGTGACAATTTTTCTAAAATCATTAAGCAACATTAGGGAATTATACTGAAAATCGAGGGTGATGCAAATTTCTCATTGATACTTCTATAGAGCCAAGTTGGAAATTCTAGGGTAACTACCTCACTTTGCCCCATGTGTTGAGCCCTGTCAGGATGATTGCAGGTGATTGTAGGTGAAAGCACTTTGATTTAGCAACCCTGTCATTTAATCATGAAAATACCTATTGAATATACATGTACATGCAGATATTTCAGAGTAAATCACTAAACACTCAACATTCATTCACTTCATAATAAAAAAATAAAACTTTAGAGATGTGGTATAATTGCCTATAAGCATGATAAGACAAGTTTACTATCAAGTACCTACAACTTATTTTCAACTGAATTATTTTGTGTGTACTATATCTGTGTAACAATAAAAATCTCTGAAAAATCCAAATAAAAAAAAATTATGTTATCAAGTTGAAATCTACATGATCTACATGTACCATTTTTTTTTTAACTTTTCACACTTGACACCCTGTGACATGTGTGAAATCCAAACTTATATAAGACAGGTTCCTAGTTCACTGTGTCTAAACTACCCCAGCAAAAAATGTTTGGACTCGATGGTATCTAATATCCGGCACGGTGACGGAACATCAATAGACAGAGAAAAGGTAGTTTTCTGTTTATTTATTTGTTATTGTTATGATATCGAAGAATATTTATACATATATAACTGTTTTCTATTGTGAGATGTAATATTTTCTACAACCGTTCTAGATTAACAGAGAAATAAGTAAAAATGCACGTCAAAATGACGAATTGAGTGAACCTTGCCTCGAATTTGTTTAATTTCTCCTTAAATTGTTCACATGGTACGGAAAGAAAAGTACAGAAAGAAAGATATTGACATGCAGATTGCAAAACTTGTCACTTTGAGCACATCAATACTTGTATTTCTGCGTATAGAACGAAAGAAATGGGTCATGTCAAAATGGAAGCACCCGGTTTTGTCATTGTGTACAACCCGGTTTTGTCCTAGATTTCACAAGGCAGAACCCGGTTTTGTCAAAGAAAAAAAATGCATAATCGCATAACATAATTGAATTTCAGCAATTAAAAGGAGTTTGGTGGCTGGTTGGAAAACGATTTCTTACAGAGGACAACTTGTTATTTATTTGAATCTGTTAACACTTGAATTCCTACTTTATTGGAACAAAAATAATTATAATTTTGCTTTGCATTAAAGAAAATACTCTAACTGCGAAATAGATAGAAATGAAGGTTAAACCGCAAATTGAGTTTTAAGCTCTCTATACGTTTTTTTTTTATATGAATTATGTAAATTTTAGTGTTTAAACTTAAAATTAGAGTTTATGGTCTTAAAAATTGAAGGACGCACATTTGATATGTGATTTTCTTGCACAACAGGATGGTTATCTTTATAAGTAATCCAATCTACCTAGGGGTGTACTATTTTCAAGACCGTTTAAACTAAATCTTCTTAAGGCTAAATGTTCATTGTAAGGCATGATAATCAAACAAATGTATATATGCTTGCAGAATCGAAAATAGAAAATGAATGTTTATGGTGAGAAAAGGATTACAATAATCTTGCATTAAAAATCAAATCTATGATCTATCCTTAATTGTAACTATAATACTTAGTATAAATTAGTATTCTAATAGTCTCAGGCCATCGAGAAAATGCAATAATGATTAGTTTATTAATAGTTGTATAAATAAACGGTTCTGTTATCTCTCCATTGTGTTATGATTATCGTACATTGACGTTGGTCAATATATTATTGACAATATATAGGGACGGATTCAGGTTTTTTCAAAGTGGGCGTAATTCAAACCGCTTACATACCGCAGAGCGTAGCGAAACGAACAATGTTTTGGACGAATTATGCTAAAAAAAATCTTAAAATTTTTAATTTTTGGGCCATCAAAGGTGGGGTGGGGGCGTGTGACCTATACGCCGCCTGGATTCGCCACTGATGTTATATAACTAAATCGTATACCAACTTAAAATTTTATAAGAAATAAGAAAGCAGGGACACCCGCGAAATTGTTCCATAAACAATGTTAATTTTATGAGATACTTTTATTAAATTATTTATCTTACAGACCTTCAAAATAATTTCGATAACGATCATTCCAGCAGTCGCGACATGTCAGTGCGTACAGTCACTCCTGTATAAATAATAAGTAGTATTAATTTTTGTAAAAAAAAACGTATTTGAAGTTGTTTTGCCATGTCTGATTAGTTTATCTCGTTCGTGTAAGCCTTAATTATGAAATGTTAGTTTTTTTTAATTCAAGAACGGTGCAATCTTGTTTGGAATTCTTGGTTGGTTTTAGCTCACCTGACCCCAAGGGAAAAGTGAGCTTTTTTCATCACTTGGCCCCCGTCGTCCGTCGTCTTCCGTTAATTTTTTACATAATATTCTCCTCTGAAATTACTGGGCTACAATACATTTAACAAACCTTATCCACAATCTTATGTCGGTTTTAAAAGGCCTAACGAACTTATGTTTAAGAGTTTTTCATCATCATTGGGGTACCTAGTTTAAAAAGTTTTTGATGACCCCCGCTTGTAAACAAAGATGGCCGAATGGCTTAAAAAAGAACATAGGGGGATGCAAGTTTTGTCTATTATTTGAAAACAGCTATAGATAGAGAAAATTTAACGGGGGCTGATACGTTCATAATGTTGAGCTCTACCTTTTGTCCATACACATCAAAATTCTCACACGAATTCTTATAGAAGTTAATGTCCATGAATGACAAATTTCTCCTTTTTGTCCATTTCTGTCTATTATCTTGAAATATATAAAAGTTATATAGCAAAAATGATCAGCAAGACAATATATACGAATAAGTCGACTTGGTCGATATCCTTGTAAGAATTATTGTCCTTTAATTACGATTTTTACCATTTCTTTGCGTTTTTGCTAATTATCTTACACAAATCTTCTCCTCTTTAACAATTTATTTAACTTGGCCACACGCTTTATTGAGATATCTGGTTTGAAAACCCACATGATCAGCCATTTGTTAATTTATTTTTTTTTGTTTCAGGGTACCAGTGTTAATAGATATAGGAAGATGTGGTATGAGAGCCAATGAGACAGCTCTCCATCCAAGTTACAATTTATAAAAGTAAACCATTATAGGTCAAGGTACGGCCTTCAACACGGAGCATTGGCTCACACCGAACAGCAAGCTATAAAGGGGCCCAAAAAATTACTAGTGTAAACCCATTCAAACCGAAAAAACAATGGTCTAATCTATATAAAACCGAGAAACGAGAAACACGTATTAACTATATAAACAGACGACAACTACTGTAATCAAATTCCTGACTTAGGACAGGTGCAAACATTTGCAGCGGGATTAAATGTTTTAATGGTACAAAACCTTCTCCCTTTTCTGAAACAATAGTATAACATCACAACATAGAAAAACGTTGTTTTTCATAAAATAAACAAAACCGGGTTCTATACATAGACAAAACCGGGTCATTGTGTAGTAAACAACATTGACAAAACCGGGTGCTTCCATTTTGACATGACCTATTTCTTTCGTTCCATACGCAGAAATACAAGGATTGAGGTGCTCAAAGTGACTATTTTTGCAATCTCCATGTCAATATCTTTCTTTCCGTACTTTTCTGTCCGTACCATGTGAACAATTCAAGGAGAAATTAAACAAATTCCAGGCAAGGTTCACTCAATTCGTCATTTTGAAGTGCATTTTACTTGTTTCTCCGTTAATCTAGAACGGTTGTAGAAAATATTACATCTCACAATAGAAAATAGTTATATATATATGTATATATATTCTCCGATATCATAAAATTAACCAAGGAATAAACAGAAAACTACCTTTTCTCTTTCTATTGATGTTCCCTCACCGTGCCGGATATTAGATACTATCGAGTCCAAACATTTTTTGCCGGGGTAGTTTAGACACAGTGTAGTTTGGCAAGTACAAGCTAATTATTATTCTTCATTTGTATATGCAGTTTTAAAAAAATTATAGCTTAAGGTTAAATAAGTTTAATTTGATTTCTGTAAGAAAAAGGGGAAAATTCAATTGTTTGTTGAATATCATTCATCAGTTTCACTGGATACTAAAGGTTTGGAATATTTTATGGAAAGTAAAAAAATATAAACTCAAATACTCTTAATGTCAAATGAATGCAATAGCCTCAACCACCTTAAACTGTGCCTTACACATGTTACAGAGTTGCAATCTAAGTCCATGAAGTCAGTGTAGTACAATTTTGACAAATGGAAATTACTTTACGCCACTCTTCAAACATTCATCTTCAATGTCATATTTTATTAATATCAATAAAAAATTTAAAAAGAATTAGATATTGCAGTGTTTGAACCCCCCCCCAAAAAAAAAAACATACAAACAAACAAAACATTTAAAGGTAAATTTTGCAAGAGAAAATTGAAAAGCATGTTCTTAGTTGCATTTCCCTTTATTAAAAGGTCCATTTGTAGTAAAGTGGTAGATCCTAAACAGCATTGCAAGTTCAAGTTGCAAGTTCAAGAGTGTCAATACCAACCTGGGAATCTCCCAAATTTAAATACAAAGCATGAACAGGAAGTAATTAATTCAATTCATGCAACATGGGGTAACACCCACATTTAATTTGCTAACTTTCTTTTCACTTAAGACAGAAATAAGGGTATAGGTCATATCTTATTACAATACACACAAAAAACACGGACAAAATTAAAAGGAAAACAAATGTAAACAAAAATCAGCTGACTACACATGCTATAGCCAGTACAGGTATTAATTATAATTTGGGTTTTACATTTCATTTTCAATACTATTAAATAAAGTGAAGGAAAATGATGTGAAGATGTTCTATTGTGCTTTGCTTTTCTCGTATTTCTTAAAAGTTGCCCAATTTTGTTTATAAACTCTCTCATAAAAAAACTGTCATCTGCACCTTTTATCCATGTCAGTTCAGCAGTAAATTCGTCTGGTTTCTTGTCTTTTTTGAAATACCAAAGTAATGTTAAATGAAAATTAAGCGAATGTAAGAACGTAAATCGTGAAGTATAAAAGTACGCAATGTTTATTTTTTATTTAAATTCTTTATTTTCCCAATAAATTCAGTATTATGTGCGGATTACCAAAACAGGAAGTATTTTATTTTTAGAAGTCACAAGCAGTAAGGGGAAACAACTCCTTACTATAATGCAACCGCCATGTTTATGCGGGGAAGACCAAGTTTTGTGTTTACAAAAAGGTTGATTTAGCGGATCGTATATATCAGAATGACACGTAAGTCTGCCACATAATATTCTATAACATGATCTTGCGATCTATCTATATGAAAATAATAATCGCACTGTAAAAACTACTGTAACCAGACGACCAAAAAGTTGTGCTATTGAAAATTATTGAAACGAAATCGCAAGATACTTGCGATTTCAACTTTTTTCAAGAAAATGAAATAAAAAGATAAACTATTCTATTTTTTGAAATATTATCCATAACAAATGGTGTATAAAGTTCTACTACTCGATACTGAATGACAAAAATAAAATCAATCAACAAAATAACGAGTTTGCAGTTGCATGTTGACATTGTTGTTGTTCTATTGATATGCTAATCAAACACCACCTCGAAAATTGTTTACCTCACAGTCATGACGAAACATAGAAATAGTTCCTACTTTAAGTGTTGGCAGAATGTAAGTGAATAATACCCTAGATTTTATTATATAATTTACATTGTCATTGCTTGATATAGTCATGTATATTTTTTACAAAAATATACCATGTTGTACTGTTGTATACTCTCAGTCATTGTTAAATTGTCAGGTCAATAATAAATCTTTGCACATGGTAAGCATTATTGCTCCTTTCATAAAGGCAACCAAAGTGATTTTCAGTTTCGGATCCAGAACTTTTTATAAGGGGGGCCCACTGACTGACCAAAGGCCCCCCCCCCCCCCCTTTCTGGATCCGCCTATAAACTTTTAAGTATATTTACTCATATTTTTTTAATCCATGATCATGACCATAAAAAAAACAAAAGACTGGACAGCTTTGTTTGAAATAATATACAGTTTGTATATAGATATAAGAAGATGGGGTATGAGTGCCAATGAGACAATATGTCTGATTATATGAAAAGTTTGTCTCATAGTCATTTAAGTAAAGTATAGCAAAGTAATCTTTATTTAAAGTCGGTTGCATATATAAATATCAATAACAAGGAACATGAGCTCTTTATTAGAGCTCTTTAAGGATTATGTACCCTTTTGTTGTTTCAATGCTAAACATGGAAATTTTAAAGAAAATCCAGCCGTTCCCTTGTACTCTAATGTTTGACCATTCTATTCTTGATAGATAGAGCATTATTGCATGCAGTGCTAGCAATGATTTCCTTAGGACAAGATTATAAATCAAAATATAAATATGGACCAATTCAAGTTCACCTTCTAGGGTGCACTCGACTTTAGTGACTCAGCACAAGGTTTTTTAGAATGTAAAGGTTGTTTAGGCCTTTTTGTAAATAACAAACGCTAGCACATCATGGACAAACAAGTGAGTAATCTATGTTATAAATTTTATAACAAAAATCTCTGTATAAAGTCTGTGAATTTTCTTCAAAAATCTTATATGCTTTTTGCGCCACATTATCCCTACTTTCTATTTAATGCAATGAAACAATAAATAAAATATAGCTTTGAAAGGAGTTTCCCCTTGGTACATGTATATGTGCAAAATGTCTAATCTCTAATATTCATTATCTTTGCTGTTTTGATATTATTGCACTTTGAAAATTTCAATTTTTTTTTTCACACCTTTAAATTTTGGTTGTTGCAGATGCTGTTCTGATTGCAGAGGTATGTGAAATGGAAAGAAAGAGATACATGTACATACAGAGACTGTTTGAATTTAAGGTGTAAGTACATATACATGTATGATATAATTATTAGAAATGACGTATCAGCTTATCAGTGAATGTACAAACATTTATAAGAGTTCTATATTTCAGTTAAAAAAAAAACATTTTTTTTTGTCATTTGAGTATATAAGCAAGGCAAATGAAATTGTTTGTTAATAGTACATTAGTCATCTAACATACTTCTAGAAAATATAATTTTATTGGACTGTTTTCCTCTGTTGTATACACAATTGAATGAATCAGCAGTAACAATAAGACAATTTTATCTTCAGGGGTGGATTTAGAAAGGGGGCAGCGGGCTGCCAACCATTTTGTTGGAAAAATTTGGTTAATTATATAGAGAATCACTGAAACATGACTGGGTCCCCTCTTATGAAAATTTATGGATCTGCCACTGATCTTTATATAATTACATGCCAATTTTGTTTATTCCTTATTTATATTATCAAAATATCTATATCATATGACTCTTCTCTTTTTCAGGTAAAAATGAGCTACATGTACCAGAAAAGATGTTGAAAATACCAGGTCTGGACCTTTGTGGCTGCATGCAATTAATTCTGAAATACCAGGAAACAAGATGTAGCTGCACAGCAGACATGGCAGATCTTTAAATTGCTAATAGGCATCAACTCAACATTTTCAAGCTGCATATAAAAGGAAAAGCATTCCTTTTCATAGAATCCAAGAATTTTTTTAACCAAGTCAAGTGGTTATTAGACCTGTTATCATGAAAATACTAACATATATATTAGTATTTACAGTCACATGTAATATCCCAAATATAAGAACTATTTGGTATGTGTGACTATCTTTCTTCCCATGTCATGTTACATGTATGCTCAGAATATTTTAATGTCACAAGGATATGAAATGGATAAATGATATATTGTCAACCATTTAAATAAAACAGACAGGCTCACATATAAATTAACTGTCTATGTGAAAGTTCAAGTTGACTAAAATTGTATAGAATTAAAAAAAACATATATCCAAAAGTACAGAATTGCCTTTCTCAAAAATTTTGTATGTTTAATAGAATGATATTTGTAGCTTCTATTTTCTTGGATCTGTATCAATATAAAATAGGGAGATGTGGTATGATCGCCAATGCGACAACTTTCCACCAGAGACCAAAGTAAGTGTTAGAAAATACAGGTAACAGAAACTGTTATGTATGGCATTGTGTAGCAATCTATGAAAGACACAAAGATTACAAAGTGTAAAATAATTCCGACAAGATAACCAACCATCAAGGCTTCCTCTTAAACCAGCCAACTCACTGAAACTAAACATAACAGCCAATTACAGTCATATTCACAATAGGTACTATTTTGGGTCAACAGAGAATTCAAAATAGCCACCAAAGGCAAGGAAAATTAGAATGAGAACTCAATAGGATATTGACTTGGATTATTTTCAACTAGGTTTAATACAAATGGTCCCAGTTTTCAAGAACAAATAAAATGGAATCAAATGATCCAGGAATAGTCAGTCTGTCCAACACTTTTGAAAATTTGTTTTCGGTGCTTTTAATCACAATATGTTATATTCAAGCAGAGACATACTACATGAAAAAGTAGTTAGCTGGTTGTTTTGAGGGATTGAATTCTGTTCTTGGAACAAAAACATAAAAAAAGAATGACACGAAATAAAGTAAAGTGGGGAATCCAGTTTTTCAAACTATGTACATACAGTTTGTATTTGAGTGTTTGACTTATTGTTTTAAGTGTTAATAGTGCTCCTTATGCCGCAGTCACACTAGGCCACGATCGCACTACGATCTCTGAAAAAAAAATGCAAATTTTGACGATCTAGTCCGAGAGATTGCGCTACGATCTCACAGCGACGTTATTACGACCTCACTACGACCATCACGTTCTCCCCGCGACCAAACAACGCTTCTACTACGACTATACCACGTTTATACTACAGACGTGGGTTCCGGGGGTTGGAATCCCCCTTTTTTTTGGACGATCAATGCATTTGACTAGGGACATATGGTTGGACCCCCCTTTTTAAAATGACTGGATCCGCCCCTGAGTACGATTCTAGCACGCTCATCAGAGGCGGAATTAGAGGGTTTACCAGGGGGCCCGGCCCACCTTTTGTGGGAAAAATTTGGTTGCCCGTTATATAGGCAATCACTGAAGCATGACTGGAGCGGGTCCCTTCTTAGGCAGTCAGTGGGCCCCCCTTATGAAAATTTCTGGGTCCGCCACTGCTCATGCCGTCCTCATCACGACCGTCTTACGACCCGACTACGTTCATACTACGACCATTTCGAGTTCTAGCCATGCTCATTGTCATTGTCACATAAAATATATAAAAGCTCTCCATGTTTTGTTTGTCTCTGTGTAATTTCAGAGACATATAATAGTCTCTGGTAATTTGGACCTCATGACCCTAATATCCAACAGCTCAACTATGCTTTACACATCTGTATCATTTCCCGTTGGTATCATTCCCACTTTTGTTCAATAAAATATCGTCAGTTGATCTGGATAGATCAGCAATACGTTGTGATTCAGGTTGGATTGCTTGATCCGACATCTGTACTGGATCAGGATTCGTACCAGAGGCCCCTCTGACTACATTTCCCCCCACCACCACGCCCACGAGTTCTGGTAGATATGGATCATGTTGTTGACGTTATTGCTGAGGGCGTAGTTAGTTCGCGGTATGAACGTGGTAAGATCGTACTGAGAATGATCGTGGTAAGAGCGTGCTATAATCTCAGAATAAGCGTGGTAATATCGTTTTGCAATCGGATAAATCGTGATATGGTCGTTATGAGAACGTGAAAAGCGTAGTAAGATCGAAATAATCGCAGTGAGGTCGCAGAATAAGCGTGGTGAGAACGTGGTATAATCGTAGCAAGATCATTGTAGAAGCGTAACGAGGACGTAGTAGCATCGCGAAAACAACGAAAATCTACATTTCAAGCCGCTCTTATCGCGACCTCACCACGATCTGAATTTATTTTAGATCGCGGTGAGCGTGATGCGATCGTGGTCTAATGTGACTTCGGCATTACATGCATCTGCCTGCTGAGATTACACAATTGAAATCCACGCTAAGAAAACCTACAAATAATACTACTGCCTATTTCCTCAAATTGAAAAAAAAACACCTAAACACAATGAAACCCGTGAAATCATCGGCAGATCCAGGGAGTGTTCCTGGAGTCGGAATCCCCTTTCAAAATGACTGGATCCTCGCCTGGAATTAAAATATCACAGGTTGTGGTCAATGGTGGATCTATCGATCCTTGTTATTTAAATAAATGAAAGGATAATAGATAGTACAGTCTGTTTTTTGTTAGATGTATTTCTATTTGATTCCATCTGATGAGTTGAGGCCTTTTTTAACTGATTTTTATGGTTTGTTCTTATATTGGAATATTCTACCAAAGCCCTGCTAACATGTTTAACCCCTCATTCTGTATGAGCCTGTCCCAAGTCATGAGCCTGTAATTCAGTGGTTTTCGTTGGTTGCTGTGTTACATATTTGTTTTTCGTTCATTATTTTGTACATAAATTAGACCGTTAGTTTTCTCGTTTTGCATTTGTCATTTCGGGGCCTTTTGTAGCTGACTATATATGTATTTACGGCTTTGCTCATTGTTGAATGCCGTACGGTTACTTATAGTTGTTAATTTCTGTGTCATTTGGTCTCTTGTGGAGAGTTGTCTCATTGGCAATCATTCCACATCTTCTTTTTGTCAAGACTGCGACTTTTGTCGCAAAAGCGAGACATAGCGATCCTACATTGCGGCGTCCACAAATATTCACTCTGTGGTTTCAGTTTTTAAAATTTTAATAACTTTTTAAAACTATCATCGATTTCTACCAAACTTTGAAGGAAGCTTGTTTATGATCATAAGATAGTATCCAGAAGTAATTAAATTTTGTAAAAAAAATCCTGTTTATCCGTATTTACTTATTAATGGACTTAATTTTTCTGCCAGTTAACATTACATTCACTGTGTGTTAAAAGTTTTTAAAACTTGGATAGAAACTTGTTTATAATCAAAAGCTAGTATCTAGAAGGAAATTTTATTAAAAATTATTTTCTGTTTTTCCGTATATTACTTATGTATACATGGACTTAGTTTTTTTCCAGTTAACATTACATATATATACAGTCTGCAGTTAAAGTTTTTAAAACATTTATTAGATTCAAACCATCCTGGATTTTAACCACACTTCAGTTGGACAGAATAAAAAGATATTATCTAGAGGAAAAAAATCAATAATTTTCCCCATTTTTGTTGAGCCTGCTACTATAACACTATTACAACAAAAGTAGGCGAGACACTGGGTTCCACGGAACCCTTATGATTTTTTTCTATAAACTCTTTAATATATTTTAATGATAAAAGTCACAATAATGTTTTTTATGTACATATTATATGATTTCACATTGACAAATACAAAGTGGTCCTAAAAATAAAGAAAACTGGAATAAAATATTCTGTTGTCTAAGGTGCTGTCATAAGCACATACTCACAAGCCGCTTTTGTTGTAAATAGATAAATAGTGTATCCTTTTATTAATAGAAGAAAAGTCAATAAAAGATGAAGACGAAAAAAATGAAATAATCATCACTGACTCAAGAGTAACTATCGAACAGTTGAAATACAACGACCTGGTGACACGTTCAAAGGCGCATTGCAATTAGAATGCAAATTACCTGTCATCAATTCGTTAATATTGTACAAAAATATGTGCACAACAGAAACATATGAATTTAAGCTCTTTTTTTTTAAATGTTGCCATTTTATAATCATATATGCCTATTATGATCCCTATTTAAACATGTGCATGGCTGTAATTAATACGCGTTAGTTAGTAAACAAAACAGTATTGACCTTTTAATTTTAGAATAATAGAGTTCAAATATATCAATATTCATGTTATAACTTATTGTCATTTTGACGTAAATGTTTTTAAACCAATGGCAAGATACGATTTATTTTTCAATAACCTCTGATATTTACTAAATTGATATGGTAAAGTTCCAACAGGTTCGAATAAGATCTTCCCAGCATATTATCATTGGTTTCCCTCCCCCTTACTTATATTCCCCTGTCACAAGATAGAAACAGTTAAACAAGAAGATTAACAGACACACTATGAATAGAAGTGGTGTCATGTTTCGAACATTTGCTCTATGTATGCATCAATATTTAAGCTATTTACTTTTACTTGGTAAAACACGGAAAAGTTTGAATATACAAGTATTGAAGACATGCTAAAATGGATCAATGCATTGGTTGATCATGTCAAAAGTTGTCTCCATTATATAAGGGAAATTATATAATTCATCCTACCCACTGTTATTTGAAAATATAATTTTAAGCTTAAAAACCATGAAAATACCACATTAGTTCTAGGATGTTTCACTCTCCTACCTAGGAGCATATTTGAGTATCTGGTCGAGAAAGAAACAGGTCAGGAATAACCACCAATTGGTGGATTATACCTTAATTGACGTATAATCCACCAATTGACATATAATGGTATAGACCAATTGACGTATAATTCTTTGTTTTTCAAAACAAATTATTCAACCAAAATGGAGCATTGTTTTCTTAAAACCATATTATTGTATGAAAACATGTCAAACATTCCTAGTTTAGTGTAGTGACATAACATATTGCATTTAATCGATAATTGTATTTGCAGTTTCTTCTATTGTTATCTTGTCAATTCTTGATTGGCAAATACACCACTAATCACCTGTCAATGGACATCAATACTGTCTGTAGTCATGTGATTATGAGTACAACTCCACAGGTGAATGGAGCTCTTGGTTAATACTTGACTTTTATTATTAAAAGTCAATCATGGTCAATAGTACAGATGTTTCAACAAAAGAATTGTTGTACACATGCATTCTCCAGAGATGCAGCAGGCTTTGACAAAACTGAAACTCACACTAGCATTTTATAACAGAAAAACTTGCATTATACGTCAATTGGTCTATACCAATATATGTCAATTGGTGGATTATACGTCAATTGGTGGATTATACGTCAATTGGGGTATAATCCACCAATTGGTGGTTATTCCTGACCTGAGAAATGTAGGATTTAGTGTTCAATGTCCAGTGGTAAATATAAGTGAGGTCGTGAATATGTTAATGTGATATGAATATCAACCCTGCTTTTAACTAGACTTGACATGTTCAATTAGTTCTTTTACCCTCTTGTGCTGCTAATTTAAAATGGTTGCATTTTGTGTGGCAGAAAATATGGCATCAGGATGTCTTGTAACGTTAGATGCCCAACTATAACGTCATTTGATATATGATGCCATGCACAAATTAAGTTTCATTGGAGACCCATTGAAGAAAAATATGACACTTAATAATTGTTTATGTTTTATTTGAAAGGGATATAAAAATGAACTGGTGCTTGCATAAATTAAACACTTGAACAGCAAGAGGGCTTATCAGAGTTCTCTTTAAAGCTTGTATACACATCCCTGACACATGGTTTTCTGTTAAGATGCACCTTTTCATGAATCTGTTCATCCACAGGACGCATCCTGATAACTTTCTGATTGATCCTGTTATCATCTGACATCAGAATTTTTCCTCTCCTATTTACAAATGATTTAAAAGTAGCTGAAAACAAGCTTTATATATATATGTCAATATTTTTGCCAGAAATTTACTTTCTTCAGAAGATATTAGGGCTAGGATACAAACCGTTCACAGTATGTAGCCTTCAAACATTAGAAATCCCATATGTTTGCGTTGGGATTTAGTTTAATAACAAAGATTTGTTTGTTGTATATAATCATAATGTACTATTAACCAGACTTGGAGCCTGTTTAGTGGTTGTCATTTGTTAGTGTGGTTCATAGGTGTTTCTCGTTTTTCGTTTTATATATAGATTAGACCGTTGGTGTTCCTGTTTAAATTGTTTTACACCAGTCATTTAGGGGCCCTTTTATAGCTTGCTGTTCGGTGTGAGCCAAGACTCCGTGTTGAAGGCAGTAGTTTGACCTATAATTGTTAACTTTTTATACATTGTGACTTGGGTGGAGAGTTGTCTCATTGGCACTCATACCACATCCCAGACTCACCATAAAAATATTCTAGTGAAAACCCTGGGTTAATGTGAATTGACAAAATCAACTATTTACATGTACCATCAGAACTTATGTACTTCTCCCCTTGCTTGGATACAGAATTTGATAATACCCTCCTAAGCCGCTATTTTAAATCATTCAGTCTTTATAAATTCTTCAAGTTTTAGTAATTTTAACTTAAAAAATTCAAATTCTTTATTTCCTAATGACAGGACCCTTTTGGGCATTACACAAAATTTGAAACGTTCATTCACACTTTCAGTCAGGGATAATACTTATACAAGTATTATTTTTTTACTGGTACAGGTAAATTATTTTTGGAGGTTAGAGTTATATCCCATAGACATTCAGAGATTTTTTACTCATATTTAAGTAAAAAAGTCTTTTTTTCTTCTTTTCTTGAATTTCTCTTGGCTATATTGTTCTTATAGAGTGTTTTATTGTCTGTCATTAATAGTCATGATAGTTGTCTTTACTCTTCATGAAAGTTCGGATATTAAAAAAGAAATAAAACAGAGATTCGTTGACCAATTTGGACAGAGTCTATCTGCTGATATGACAAACTCATCTAGAGGTGTGTTTTATGCGTCATACAAAACAATGCTTTGTTTAGAGCCATATTTACTCAATCTTAAAGTGGCAGATCGTTATATCTACAGTAGATTTAGATGTTCAAATATCAAAATCCCTATTGAAGTTGATCGGTGGAAAAATAAAAAAGAGAATCGTATATGCTGTCACTGCGATTCAATCACAATTGGTGACGAATATCATTATTTTTTGCATATACCAATGAGCAAATTATGTCATTAAGAGAAAGGTATTTACCTTCATATTACACAAAAAATCCTTCCCAATTAAAATTCACTAGTCTATTCATTGTCACACTGTAACGTGCCAGTTCAAACAAAACTGTGCACATTTCTAAGACATTTAGAAAAAATATTTTCATAATTTATATCATGTTACAATGTAGTATTAAAATAACAACTTATCCAAGTTGCAATTAAGAATATATTCTATATTGCAAACAAATCAACCAAATATAGTATATTTCAATTCTATTGTTACAGTATGATATCATTAATTCATTTATTGTGTGTCTTGCTTGCAAATGTATAAGTATATATGTAATTGTTAATGTATAATTGTTATCCTCTTGTAGCACCATACATGTGCCCAAGTTGTAATAAATTGTCTTGTCTTGAAACTATGATTTCATTGACAATGAAAATTTCATTTGTCTGGTATCTTCAAAATGCTGCTTATTTGCATTTTTACAAGCCTACAGAGAGCAATCTTTAAAAGGCCTTGCGCATGTGCAGTTACTTAACATCTGTGCACAATCATGACAATAGATATATTTCTTTGTTAAGTTTTTTCGATAAAAGTTGAACTTTAATTAAAAAATAAAAAGAAATCAGAAAAAATCTGTTATGGTATGTTTTGGCCTCCCAAAACTTAAGAATTTAAGGGGTTGTATAAAAAAATTACTTGTATAAGATTATTTTTGGAGAAGATTCAGGGGAGATAATTCAAACCTTGAAAATAAAATTAATATCATACAAGTATATATTACTTACATCTTCAAGTAAATAAAGATGACTTGTATAGGTATTACCCCTGACTGACTTTCATACTTCTTTCACTCTGATTATGTTAGCTATATTAATGTAGGTACAACACAATAGAACTTGATGTGAAAGAGAGGTCTTGCTTGATGCATGACTAAAGAGAGATAACTCTATTTTTATAATTGACAATTTTACCAAGGCTTCTAGAACTACATGTTTATAATCAGTATTCATAATTGCTATGAGAGTGACTAATTTTCAGTTTATTTTCAAAGGCACTCCAAAACTTTGAAGATATACATTTGTAGTGAAGAAACAGAATGCAGAAACTGAAATTTCATTTGAAAAATGTCAAAAGAAGACAATTTTTTAGAGTTCAATATTGATTATAACGCCTTATCAAGCTATATGCCGTGTACAGGGAACTCACTAAGGAATTTCGAAGGGGAGTCCAGGGACTATCATATTTGGCCATGATGAGACAAACAGTGAGACGATGAAATTAAATAGATATATCATTTATTATTTTAGTCCCCATGACAAAATAGAGCAAGGAATTGACATAAAGTTTTGATTATTTTTAAACTTTTGTCATAAAATGATGATATTTGTCTCCTGTTGATACAACATGTTACAATCTTGATGCATCTTTGGACTCACCAGTTCTGAAAATGACAGATTTCAAAGAGTTCTGAACTCAGGGACTCACTGTAGTGAGAACCCTGATGCATGTGTAAAATTTCTAGGTACATCCAATCTATGCATGATATGGGTAATGATAAACGGGTAAAAAAAAAGATATTTATCCCTAATTTGTGAATTTTTAAAACATAATTTTGCTGACAGAAATTAAAAAAAATTGCCAAAATTACTACCTGATTTTTGGTGGTGAAGAACAAAAGAACCGCCAATTTTCTAGAACACTATGAAACTTACTGTAAATATTTGATGTTGAAATTAACTTTATGATGGTCTTTTCTATTTCAGTGAGTTTATATTTTGTCTATACATCACAACAAGCACCTAATACAACTCAACGACCTGTCAGTCGAAAAGATGCCTGCTCTTTCTGGCATAACTTTACGAGGGAGATGAACGAGGTTTATAAAACATACAGCTACCAGAATTATAACTGTACATATGATCCACAAAAATGTAATGGAGCAGATTGCACTGGTTCCATTTATTACAAGGTTTGTATAGCAGTAGCCCATTGATGGTCTCTTAACATTAGAGCTAGGCTACAGAATTTTTTAACACCTTTTTGCATGATTATATATTTCTAGGCCATCAAAATATAGTCATCATATAATTGATATTGTGAAATATCAGCTGCAAGTCACTATATGAAGTTTTTTTTATCGAGTGAGCGCAGCAAACAAGTTCAAAAGGCTTCATGTTGGTGGAGCAGTTGATAATTTTTACAATATCAATATGCAGACAACTTAATAATAGATTTATTGAATTGCATTTTTATACAACCGCAAAAAAAATTTTGCGATCGTATATTGGTATGACGTTGGTGTCATCGTCGTAGTTGTCCGGCGTCGTCATCCGAAGATACACTGGTTTTCGCACTCTAACTTTAGTTGAAGTGAATGGATCTCTATGAAATTTTAACATAAGGTTCAATACCACAAAAGGTATGTTGGGATTGATTTTGGGGGTTATGGTACCAACAGTTAAGGAAAAAGGGGCCACAAAGGGGCCAAAAATAAGCATTTTTGTAACTTCCAGACATAACTTGTGTGTTAGTGTATGGATCTCTCTGACATTGTACCACAAGGTTCCATATCACAAAGGGAATGCTGGGATTGATTTTGGGGGTAATTGCCTCAAAATTTTAGGAATTAGGGGCCATAAAAGGGGCAAAAAACAAGCATTTTTATATGGACAAATACTTTAGTACAAAACATAATTTAAAGCAGTGTAAGGGAGATAAATCAAATACATCATTTGAATTACCTCCCTTACACTGCTTTTAAACTGTATAAAGTAATGGTTAATGAACAATTAAGACAATTTAAAACAGTGTAAGGGAGGTAATCCACATACAACGCTTTGATTACTTCCCTTACACTGCTTTTAAATTATGTTTAAAGAAATGCATATTTATAAAGGAAGACCAGTAAAAATATCTGCAAATGTTGCATTATTTTTTTTACAAAAAAATCCATATGAAAGATTTGACACCATATTTTAAATTCTATTATAAAATAAATTAAGTTAGCACTATGGTAAATTTAAATGGGTAATTATGGTTGCAAATTCCATTGGAAATTTGAATTGAGATTATGACAATATCTTGAGGGAAAGAATTGAGGGGGGGGGGGGGTAAAAAGAAATTGTGGGGGGTCAATTTTTTCTCATTTCAGATTTCAGAAATTAAAAAGAATTATTCTTCAAATATTATTTTTTTTTCAAATTTCAAATATTGAAAAATTTCAAGAAGTAATCTTTAATTGCACAGTATGGCGCATTAGATTTGTAAAATCTTTGACCACATTTATTTATTTGTTATGCCAAATCTGACCGTGTACTTAGATTTTTAATTTTGGGTCCAGTTTTCAAATTGGTCTACATTAAGGTCCAAAGGGTCCAAAATTAAACTTGGTTTCAACAAAAATTGAATATATGGGGTTCTTTGATATGCTGAATTTTGGGTCCCGTTTTTTAAATTGGTCTACATTGAGGTCCAAAGGGTCCAAAATTAAACTTAGTTTGATTTTAACAAAAATTGAATTCTTGGGGTACTTTGGTATGCTGAATCTAAACATGTGTTTAGATTTTTGATTATGGGCCCAGTTTTCAAGTTGGTCCAAGTTGGGGTCCAAAATTAAACTTTGTTTGATATCAACAAAAATTGAATATATGGGGTTCTTTGATATGCTGAATCTAACCATGTATTTTGATTTTTGGGCCCCATTATTAAATTGGTCCACATTGAGGTCAAAAGGGTCCAAAATTAAACTTTGTTTGATTTCATCAAAAATTGAATTCTTTGGATTCTTTGATATGCTGAATCTAACCATGTATTTAGATTTTGGATATTGGACCATAATAGGTAAATTAAAAAAATTTAAATTCTTAGACCACATTCATTCTGTGTCAGAAACCTATGCTGTGTCAATATTTAATCACAATCCAAATTCAGAGCTGTATCAAGCTTGAATGTTGTGTCCATACTTGCCCCAACTGTTCAGGGTTCGACCTCTTTTTTTTTTTTTGGGGGGGGGGGGGGGGGGGGCAACAACATAAATTACATTTATTGGACAAGAAAGTAGGAAACAAACTTTATAAAAAAAAAATTGAAACAATTTGTGTCATTTTTTCGGGTAGGATGCTTTTAAGGTGTGTAGGTTTTCAACATAAAAAAATTTCTGGCCCCATCAGTATCATCAAAGAATTATTTATACAAAATGAAAGGACACACCACTAGCACAGTTTACATTAAGGATGTTCCCTACTCTTTTTCAAAATAACAAGCTTTTTAAAGGAGCATTAGCTACGAGATATAAAAAATATATATAGGATTTTTTTTTAGTTCAATCATTAATGAAAGTGAAAAAGTGAAATAATAGTTCGCTTTTAGCAGCCAGTTTAGTACAATTTTGTCAAAATAAGATAAGAAACATCGCTAAAAGAGAATTATTATTTCATTAATGATTGAACAAAAAAAAACAACAGCTAATCGTGTTCAGCCGCTAAAAGAAAAGGAATGTCAACATTGAAAGTGAAACAAAGATGAATCATTTCGTTGACTGATTCAATCCACAAAAAATCATTCTTATACAGGTAAAAACGATGATAAACTTATTTTTTTAACCTATAACATGGGGGGGGGGGGGGGGGGGGGGGGGGCAACAACATAAATTACATTTATTGGACAAGAAAGTAGGAAACAAACTTTATAAAAAAAAAATTGAAACAATTTGTGTCATTTTTTCGGGTAGGATGCTTTTAAGGTGTGTAGGTTTTCAACATAAAAAAATTTCTGGCCCCATCAGTATCATCAAAGAATTATTTATACAAAATGAAAGGACACACCACTAGCACAGTTTACATTAAGGATGTTCCCTACTCTTTTTCAAAATAACAAGCTTTTTAAAGGAGCATTAGCTACGAGATATAAAAAATATATATAGGATTTTTTTTTAGTTCAATCATTAATGAAAGTGAAAAAGTGAAATAATAGTTCGCTTTTAGCAGCCAGTTTAGTACAATTTTGTCAAAATAAGATAAGAAACATCGCTAAAAGAGAATTATTATTTCATTAATGATTGAACAAAAAAAAACAACAGCTAATCGTGTTCAGCCGCTAAAAGAAAAGGAATGTCAACATTGAAAGTGAAACAAAGATGAATCATTTCGTTGACTGATTCAATCCACAAAAAATCATTCTTATACAGGTAAAAACGATGATAAACTTATTTTTTTAACCTATAACATGAAATCAAACAGACCTAGAAAAGTCCAATTGCAAGAGGTCGCTATCTATTTATATTTATGTTTATATTGGGTTATGTGACCATCGGCAGTCTTTGGACGTCATCTCGATAGTTAATTAGATGGCATCTAGACTACAAAACACATGAAATGCTGATATCTATTATCAGTCCCATGCATTGTTAATTGTTTATTTCAGACTTATTGTAATTTGGATACACGTTTTAGTATGTTATAAATCAAATATGAGAATTTGAGTCAAATCGGTAAACATGAATTTGACACATTATGCCCCCTTTAAAAGACTGTTATAAATTGATAGTATATAAATAAAGGAATTAAAAAAGCAGAAAAAACTTAAGGGTCTATGTCCTTTTTTTCGAGATTATATATAAGCCATTGAAAATTTGTCGGGAAATGATTCTCTCTAGATTTTTCATACACTTAACATTGCCTATGATTGGCACCTTATTTCTTTCAAAAACTTAACCCGAATAATTCAGTCGTTATATTCCACTGCGCTACATTAACGCCTGATGGCCTTGTCAATAATAAATCGTCAAATAATCATTCGGAATTAGCTCGGGATTTATCTATCTCGATAACATTGAGCTATAAGCTGATTGGCTCTCTCTCACAGAGAGCACCAATCAAAATCCTGGATTCGTGACGCGTTTTTATTGTATAAAGAATTCAGGCCCTCGCGAGTGGGAGAGTCGATCACGGGGAGGGACTGAATTATTCGGGTTATCAAAAACTATGAATAAATAACAGGGATTTTATAAGATTTTCAAAAATGGCTGTTTAAACTATTTGTAATAAAGTTATGAAAAGAAAAGTAGGGTTTAATGATAACTTTTTAATAACATTACATGGATAAAACTAAAGGATTCCGAATATTTTTTAGGTACAAGGTACAGATCTGATTAATGTATCGTTTTGTTTTGGACTGAGAATGAATCATTGTGACCACCCAAATATATCAATGGACATATATTATGCTGACCCAAACAATGCCTCGACAGCATTTACAGACCGAATACATCATAATGATAAAAAAGAGATCAAAAGTAAGTAATATTAAGGATGTACTAAGGTCAGGTTTAGGAATTTCTGTCAGATGTTCGGACTGCTTGGTCTTCTTCCTACGATACAGGGTGAAATTTTTTGCCCCATAACACCCATTTTTCTTTTCATATAAGACTTCAATCATGTCAATTGCTCAAAATAGGTCATTTACCAAAATTATTCAGATTCTAGATTTCTTTTCTGTCGTTTTGAGACCCAAATAATACCAATGCAAATATAAGGTAAAAGTCTAAGTCAGCCTTTTCCCGCCATTTAAAAAAAATATTTATCTTGAAAAGGAGCTCCATAACCTATCAAAATTTTTAGCTTATTTTGTTCCTTAACTAATGCTCTTCCGACTTGTAGTATCAATTTTAAATTCTAGATTCTTTTAATTTCATCTAAGTACATCCTTAAGACAAAGTCCTCAATAACAGTAGAAAAATCAATAAAACGAAAAATAAATATAAAAATAAAAAATGGTGGAAACCAATACCAAAGGAACATTCAAACTCATTAAGTGGAAATAAATTGGCAAAGTCATGGCTAAAAAAGAAAGAGACAAATAGACAAACAATAGTACACAAGACACAACATAGAAAACTAGGACTGTGCAAAACACAAACCCCACGAAAAACGAGGGGGTGATCTCAGGTGCTCTGGAAGGGTAAGCAGATTCTGCGCCACATGCTTAATATACTAATGAACTTGAAATCTTTTAAAAAAAAATTTCTACCAGTTGTACTTGTGCATTATATACCCTTATTCTGTTCTATTGAAATACACTGACAAGTTGTATTTGAAGTCATATGATTTCCTGCAATTTTGTATGTCTGATTACCAAAAAAAATAATGACAACAATACAATGAAAATGAAATTCGTAATACCGACTTTGTCCTCTTTCACAGGTAACACCTGCCTCATACTATTATAGGTGTCAGACCAAATGATTTTCTCTAGTGATCGACTGTTATTCAGTTAACGTTATTACTAGTACTAGTGCTTGACCATTATTTAACTAAACTTTTCTTCAATTTACCAGAAATAATAAAATACACTTTCTGTAAATTGAAAAAAATTGCAATGATAATTGCTCAAAACATCTTGCATTGTTATATTAAGCAGATAAATTCTGTCTTTTTTTTCTAGCATTTAATAATTAATACATGTATTGCTTTTCTACGTATGAAAACTACAATCCCAAAAATAGATGCATGCAATTATAATTTGAAGTAACATTCCATGTCTATTACGTTTTTGTCTGTTCTAACGTTTGTACAGAACCAGTTATAATTATAAAGGTCCCAAATTTTTAATAATTTTCAAAAAGGATTAAAATAGTCTTGTAGTTATTTGAGTTGGCTATTTTCCCCCAGATTATATTATGGCATTTTATGTTCCAATTATGGGCATTATGTTTTTCAGTCTGTGCGTCCGTCCATCCGTTCATCCGTCTGTTCGTCTGTCCGTCCGTCTGTCCTGCTTCAGGTTAAAGTTTTTGGTTAATGTTTTTGGTCAAGGTAGTTTTTGATGAAGTTGAAGTCCAATCAACTTGAAACTTAGTACACATGTTCCCTTTGATATGATCTTTCTAATTTTAATGCCAAATTAGAGTTTTGACCCCAATTTCACTGAACATAGAAAATGATAGCGCAAGTGGGGCATCTGTCTACTATGGACACATTCTTGTTTAGTCTGAAATTTTCTGATAAAGAGTTCAAGATACATTGTAACTTGAGATTTTGGTCTCAGTTGACCTAACTTTAACCAGAGTTATGGTCCTTTACCATTGCATTTATAAGGTTTTATCGGGAATAATAGTTGTCAGAAAATTAAATTATGACATGGTCTTAAGTTATAGTTTTACCACTATGTTTAGCAGTCTCAATCCATTATTTGTTAAAAGAAAGTTATTCAATTTAGTTTGATACCATCAAGAGTTGTCAGGGAGATTTCGTGTCTGAGTGGTCTAAGTAGTCCAACAACTGTATCACTAGCCTGTCAATACTGAGGTTGATAGTTCAAATCCTGTGTGGGGCAGGTGCACTCTACTCCAATCTTTATTGACAAGGATTGTCAGTTTTCCTACCTAGGGTTGGTGGTTCTCTCCAGGAACTCTTGGTTCCTCCACCAATAAAAACTGACCGCCACAAAATAGCACCAATCAATCAATCATTCAAAAGTTGTTGTGAATGATCTTGTGTTTACTGTATCTATAGATAGGTTTTGATTGACACAATTTGAGCAAGAGTTACTTCCCTTTTGTCACTATGTTGGATTGCACAAATTCTAACTTGTTATACAGATCGCTAGACTTTAGAAAAAAAAAATTTCTGAAATATTTTAACTTCTTTTAGCCTTTCTTGATTCATCACTGCGATCTAGTAAGGATATTTTATCAGCCTTGTGTGTATGGCATGTTTCAATTTGGTTAGTAAAATAAGAAAAGCAAGCATTTATTTTATCCCTCCAAAATGGTGTTCAAGGAACTCAAACTTAAATTATGTTTTTTCAAAACCTATCCAAGTTTTATGAAGACACTAAACCCATCTGATCTATATATTCTACTTAAATATTTCAGGTTTGAAGATGGATTTAGCTGGTATAGGGACTTTGGAACCATTCCTATTCTTTCACCTGACCAAACCAGTTCCACATCATGTACTGTTTGGGGTAAGATTTATGAAGAATGTCATTTGGTCTCTGATGGAGAATTGTCTCATTGGCAATCATACCACAGCTTCTAATTTTTATGTGTATCCAACATTTTATTTAAGTTATCTGATAAAGATATAGAAAGAACACATTTTCAAAATTTTAAATGCAAATGTTGAAAAGAATGGCACCTTTTGAATATCATTGATATCAAAGTTATAAGTCGTAGGTGAAGGTCACCATTCCTTTTCTTCTCTTGACCAAATTAGTTCCACGTCATGTATTGTTTGGGGCAAGATTTATTAAGAAAGAACATGTATCCAACAGTTCATCTGATAAAGATGATATTTGTAGAAAGAACAAATTTCAAAATTTTTAATGTAAATGGTGCAAAGGATGGCACCTGTTGAATATCATAAATATTGAGGTCAAAGTTCAAGGTCACATTATTTTGCCAATTTAATTATATTAGATTAAGTCTATGAAAGTAAGACAGACATTTAAACTAAGACACATGTATATCCCTTTCATATTAAAGAGGACCTTCAACAACTACTTTGATTAAGATATTTGATAAAAACTTATTTGACGTTAGATTTTACATCTATCGATATGCTGGCTTTTGTGATCAAGGGTGATGGGCTGGCTCACAGCATTGACAGTGTTTTCTGTTGTTGTCTAGCCATCCTTCAGATGTACATTTATACTCATCATGATCATTAATTAGTCCCCTACCGACGAAGTTGAAGGGGACATTAGGTTTGCACTCCCTCCATCTGTCTTGTCTTGTCTTGTCTTGTCTTGTCTTGTCTTGTCTTGTCTTGTCTTGTCTTGTCTTGTCTTGTCTTGTCTTGTCTTGTCTTGTCTTGTCTTGTCTTGTCTTGTCTTGTCTTGTCTTGTCTTGTCTTGTCTTGTCTTGTCTTGTCTTGTCTTGTCTTGTCTTGTCTTGTCTTGTCTTGTCTTGTCTTGTCTTGTCTTGTCTTGTCTTGTCTTGTCTTGTCTTGTCTGTCTGTCTGTCTGTCTGTCCGTCTGTCAGTCTGGCAAATCAGTTTTCAACACTTTTTTTCTTAGTGCTTGAACATATTGATTTGATATTTGGGGTATTGTTTAATCATGACAAGTTTCAGATCAAGCTCCAATTTTGTTCTGGTCTGATAATTTTGTGCAGAGTTATGGTCCTTGGACTTAGAAAATTCACTCAAATAATCAATTTTCCACATTTTTATTCGTCATGCTTGAAGATATTGACTTGACGCTTGTTATATAGTTTACATCATGACAAGTTATAGATCAAGTTAGCATTTTGTTCAAGTACAATGAATTTTTAACCGGAAGGGGACTATGTATTGCCAAGCAATACTAACAGAGTGCTTGTTTATGTAGATGTTTTGTCATTTGATAAAAAAAAAAAAAAACAACAATTTTTAATTCGTTCATCTGAAGTGCTTTTCTAGATTTACCTTCATCAGAAATGCTCTTTGCCAAATATTTTGAAACCAAATGATGTATTAGATTAGAAACAGTTAAAAGGAGCTATATGATTAAAAAGGACCTACAATTGACAGCCAAATTCATCTAAGGTCAACTGCACCTGAGGAAGTAGAAACTTTAGTTTCATAAAATTTTATAAATTCATGGATGGACAAATTTAGAAAGAAACTATCAATGAGTAAAATTTTGACTGATATCAGAATTTATATGAAATCCAAAATGAAATTATTTTTTTTTCCATTGCAGATAAGATTAAAAGTTCGACTGACATCAAAATTGTTTGGTATTGAATCTTGGCCGTCACAGTACCAGCAAGATATCGTTCCAAAAACAGAAATTCCAGCTACACCATGTCCTGCTGGTCTAAATGCGACTTCACCTCCTCTTGCTAATGCTACATGTGTGCGTAATCCTGTGATGATTCCTCGTACAACACCTATAACATTCCCAATCCATTCTTGTAAGTATAAATTGGGGTAGGGTAAAAGGGGTAGTCATCCCAAATTCCCGAAAAAATAAAGCATTCTTTCCTAGATACCAAAAATTAATCATTAATCTCCAAGTTCAGATAGGTGTAAATCCCATATTTCCGCAAAAATAAAGGCCCAATCCTGACACCCCGAAAAATGTGCTTCAGCCTCTCTATACTTTTTCCATAGTCTCCAAAAGTTACTTCTATGTACTGTGCATTTATTCATTTTGGTGGGTACCAATATTTGTTGATTCGGGAACGATATTATTTTTGTGGATGCTTGATTTTGTGGTTTTGCCAAAGTTTGCATTCAAACCCGATCTATAGGGAATTTGTACTTCACTGAACACTTAAATTCGTGGTTCACATATCCCCACAAAATCCATGAACAATTGGTACACCTTGAAAATAACGGATCCACAGTTCTTTTCTTTGCCTGAGCTGTCTGCAGACTGAATCTGTAAAACTGTTTGCTACAAAATTAGCTGTTAACTTTCTTACAGACTTGAGGTAAAGCTAAAATATATCACTACATTCTGTCTTGCTTGGAAAGTATGTACATGTAGCTGGTAACTTCAAGCCATTTGTCATTTTGTATGCCTGGGTATGTGTTTTTCTAAGATCATGAAGATCTTGTTTATGGCCCCATGGTTGGGGCCATATATTTTTAACCTTGTCCTTCATTCTGTTATTCCACAACAAACAATTAAACAGACTTTTTTCTAAATGCCTTCACATATTGAGCTGATTACTAGTGTATGAGTCTACTATGATGAGTAACAGATCGAGTTTACGTTTGGTTCCACTCCGCTGAATTTTGCTGAAATTACCGGCTTTGGCCTTTGAAAATTTCATGAAAATAACAGTTATACAGACTTTTTTTTCTAAACGCCTTCACATATTGAGCTGATTTTTAAGTTTTGAGTCTACTATGAGGAGTTACAGATAGAGTTTATGTTTTGTTCTGCTCTGCTGATTTTTTGCTTCAAGCTTTTTTTGCGAGCGGGGCCATTTGAGGTGTTCTGACAGATCTAGTTTTTCTCTCGGTTACTTCCAGAAATTGAGTGAATATTTTTGTCTATGGAATCATAGCTAGTACTATAATATATGTATATGTCCTTCTAACAGGACATGGAGATGGACATGATGACTCCTATATCATGTATATATATATATATATACCCCCAAACTTTTGTTTGCAGGGGAATTATGAACCATGAAACTTAGGTTCATATTAAATGGTCCCTAGACCTAAAAATGAGATATGTGCACTTTACAATGATCAAACAGACAACATGAAGTTAACCTATCTCAACTCAGAACTCACCTCTGGGTGAATATTGAACTTGATTATTGAACTTAGGGTGAGGTCAAGTTCAAATTACCCCCTCTGTCTGTCCGTCCCACTTCCTGTCCACTGCATAACTTTTATTTAAAAAAAAAAGTTTTTACTTCATTAGAACATGAAGAAAATACCTTCAGTTAATGTTTCATCCATTTATTGCATTAAAAGCATCATATTCCTTTCCAAATCGCTTGTCAAACATTGTTTATTTTTCGTAAATTTTTCTTAGACTGCCATTGAAAAATTCGTACAAAGTACGGATCAGAGGCGGGATTCATTGGAAGACCGAAATCCATATTCTTACAATAATGACTACAGAGGCACAAATGGCACAGCTTACAAAAGAATAATGATCCCAAAAGGGAAAATTATGCATTCCACACGAATTAAAAGACAATTTGTTAGATCACCTTGCTAAATGAATTTATTTCTATGTAAATCCATTGTTTCAATTCATTGATTAAAGTTGCTTATAAAAATAAGGAGATTAGCTATGATTGCCAATGAGACAACTATCCACCAAAGTTCACATAAAGTGGATGTAAGCAATTATAGGCAACCGTACAGCCTTCAACAATGAGAAAAACCCATACCTAATAGTCAGCTATAAAAGGCCCCAACATGAAAATTATGAAACAATTCAATTGAGAAAACTAAAGGCCTAAAAAGTAAAATAACAAAAATACTGAACTCCAAGGGAAATTCAAAACGGAAAGTCCTTTATAAAATGGCAAAATCAAAAGCTCAAACACATCTAACGAATAGAAAACAACTGTCATGTTCCTGACTTGGTACAGGCATTTCCTTATATGTAGAAAATGGTGGATTAAACCTAATTTATAACAAAACAATTTACGAAAAACAAATATGACATACATGAACCAACGACAACTACTGAATTACAGGCTCCTGACTTGGGACAGGCACATAAAGAATGTGGAGGGGTTAAACATGTTTGTGAGCGCTCAACCCTCCCCCTTACCTGGGACACTGGTATAACAGCACAACATAAGAACAAACTATAAAAATCAGTTGAAAAAGGCTTAACTCATCAGATTGATACAAAGAACATAAACACAGACCAGACGTGGCAGGGTATTTATGTATCCCTCATCCCTAACAACAAAAAGGACACTAAGTACAGATCTGATAGTACTCACAGTTACTGACAGCTAGCTAGTTCAAAGCCAATAACAACTAATAAAAAAAAACATGTATCTAAGACTAAAATATCAATCAGTACACATCCAACATCCAATGGATTTAGTGTAGAGACGTCAGAGAAAAACATGACCTTGTGCAATGCCAAAATAAAGGTATCGACAGACAGTAGTACCGTTAAAGTGCATATGTGTATAACAAAACTATTTAGTACGATTCTAATTTACTGATAACAAAAACAAATATTTATACCAATAAAAACAATATTCAAAGATCTAATTACAGTGTTGAATTGGTAACCTTTTAGAACAAGTTTATTTAAAGGATTGATAAGTTTACCCGGATCGTATAAAAATTTCCAGACTTTGTTAAAAATATATATCTTTTTAATGAGAAACAACTGCAATGAATTTCATAAGAGCTATTCCATTAAAATGTATGTGGAAGAGTAGGAAGGGACTTTCAAAATATCCCTACAACCAAGAACCATTTTTTAGATAATTTTACATAATGGTAATAGACGCATACTGAAAAAAGACCCATGACCCACATTCAATAATTAAAACTTCCCTTCCTACCCTCCCTCATACATTTTAATGGAATAGCCCTAAACATAATAAACAGAATAGTTTTTTAATTGAATTTCTATTGATATATGATACTTTCTCTTCCTTTTTTGATATAAAAGCTAGATATTTAGTTGGTAATCATACCACATCTCCTTATTTGCACACATATAGATACATTTGCACACATATAACATATACTTAAATTAAAATGTATATTACAAAAAGGAAAAACAGCATCATTGCGACATGATAAATGACACTGAAAAAAAAACCTATTTATTTGTTTACACCAAGTGTGATGCTATCCAAAATTTCTGGGGAGAACACTGGTTCCATTGTTTAGAATATAGTTTATCAATCACAATAAAAGATAGATTTTAAATTTTATCATTATAATGAAATAAACTCTTTTAAATCTGGTTTGTAAGTGCTTTTCTGAATTTAATTACCTTCATCAGAAACGAAGTCAGGGATGTGCAATTACTTTGTAAATTTAAGAGCTATTTAACAGTCTGAAAATTATCCAAACAGAATTGCCAAATGCATCTAAGGTCAACTTTGCATGAGGGAGTTGGAACCTTAGTTTCATAATCATTTCTAAATTTATGAACTAGTATATATTTCTTCTTTAAGCATCCTACCACAAACCATGTGCTTTGAATGCCTTTGGCAGCTGCTCTGGTCCTAATGAAATATGTCAACAGAAAAACAAAACCCACGGGATTTGTGGATGTTTTGATGGTCATGTTATGAGCCCCACAACTGGGACCTGCTCAGGGAAAGACGGTAAGAAAATAGATTATGTCTATTGAACTAAAAAGCTGCAATAACCTTTGTACTAAGTAAAAAGGTTTGCAACATATATTTTGCTTAAAATTTAAATTAAAAATTTCCAAAGCTGCAGAAATCAATTTTTTTTAATAATTATTAGTGATAATAGTAAGTAAAAATTGCACCTTATTATTTATTTTCTTTGTTACAATTATTTATTTATTGTTATGTCATGTATGTTTAGAAGTATATTTTAATTTTGAAATATGAAATTTAAAATATTTGTTGGTAAACTTCTTTCACTCTGTATATTACATAAAAGTTGAAAAAGTGCATCATCATCGAAGATCAAATTAAAATACTGTGGATTCATCTGATAAAAATTAATTTGGATGAAAGTTTTTTGCCTGTCTGCTGATAGACATAATTTTGTCATGTGACTGTGACATCATCAATGTTTTTGCATGATTTACTCCTTAAAAATGGAATTTAGAATTAAATTATAAGGAATGACTTTAATAATTTTTCTGTTTATTCGAAATAACCTCAAAATGTGATGCATACTTTTAAATAACCTGCTACGCTAACATGTTTAACCCCACCACATTCTGTTTGTATGTGCTTGTCCCAAGTCAGGAGCCTGTTATTCAGTGGTTGTCCTTTGTTTATGTGTTACATATTTGTTTTTCGTTCATTTTTTTGTACATAAATTAGGCCGTTAGTTTTCTCGTTTGAATTGTTTTACATTTGTCATTTCGGGGCCTTTTATAGCTGACTATGCGGTATGGGCTTTGCTCATTGTTGAAGGCTGTACAGTGACCTATAGTTGTTAACTTCTGTGTCATTTGGTTTATTGTGAAGAGTTGTCTCATTGGCAATCATACCACATCTTCTTTTTTTATATATACGCAGGTTGTTTAGTGTGTACAACATTTTTGATGTTATTTCTTCATAGACAGAAAAAAATATTACAGTCATTCCTTAATTAACAGTTACCAATTTTTATGGATTGAGGAAAAACTGTTTTTCTGGATACTTGATTTCCTTGATTTGTCAAAAGTCTACATTGTATATACAAGTCTATATGGATGTTTACTTTGTTGGACATTAGAATACTGGTTTTCCTGGACTTTGTGGGTATACATTGTTTTCAAAAACACAAACATGTGACAAATTAGACTAATTATGGCCCTATCGTAGGCAACAGGGGCATTAAGTGTTACCCATGACTGTCCTTCCGATCATCCCATTTTCGTTTCCAGACACTCTAACTTAAGTTTGCCTCATGCAAATTTTATAAAACTCATACACAATACTAAGAATGACAACACACAGACAGAGTGTGAATTTGGGTTGTGAGTCATTTACCGTTCTAGAGTTATTTTCATTTTTGACTTGGACAATTGCAAAGCTTTAGCCGGGGCAATGGTGTCCTCAGACACATTCTTCTTTTATTTTATTTGCAACAGTATTTGTCTGCTAAAAACATATCTTATTGATATTTACTAGGATCCAGGCTCAATATTTTATACCAGTAAGTTTGTTTAAGAACTCTGCAATTTTTATACTACTGCAAAAAAATTTTGCGGTCATATATTAGTATGATGTTGGCATCCGAAGACATATTGGTTTTCGCACAATAACTTTAGTTTAAGTGAATGGATCTCTATGAAATTTTACCATAAGGTTCAATACCACAAAAGGAAGGTTGGGGTTGATTTTGGGGGTTATGGTACAAACAGTTAAGGAATTAGGGGCCAAAAATAAGCATTTTTCTAGTTTCCAGACAATTACTTGTGGAACGGTGTATGGATCTCTCTGAAATTATACCACAAGTTTTCATACCACAAAGGGATGGTTAGGATTTGCTTTGGGGGTTATGGCTCAAACCTTTTAGGAATTAGGGGCAAAAAAGGGGGAAAACAAGGGTGTCCTGGTTAATGGACAAATACTTTAGTACAAAACATGATTTAAAGCAGTGTAAGGGAGGTAATTCAAATACATCATTTGAATTACCTCCCTTACACTGCTTTTAAGTTATGTATAAAGTAATGGTTAATGAACAATTAAGACAATTTAAAAGCAGTGTAAGGGAGGTATTAATCCAAATACAACGTTTTTTTTCATTTCAGATTTCAGAAATTAAAAAGAAAAATTCTTCAAATATTATTTTTTGCAAAAAAAAGTGTGTGTGTGGGGGGGGGGGGGGGGGGGGGGGGGGGGTTAAATTTTTTTAATTTTTTTTGTGGGGGGAGGGGGGTCAATTCGCAACAGCAAAGTGTATTGCACAAACGCAAAAAATTGAATATAAATTCAAATCATATAACCAGTTCCAAGTTCTTTGACTACAGTTATTCTGTGTCAGAAACCTTTCATGTGGTAAATATTTAATTACAATCCAAATTCAGACCTGTATCAAGCGCGAATATTGCATCCATTTTTGCCTCAACTGTTCAGGGTTGGACCTCTGCAGTTGTATCCAGCTGCGATCGGCGAAGCAATTCATCTCATTTAAAAAAAAATATAAAACAACAAGTGTCAGTAGATATTTGAATGACCTTGAAGATATGACTTTGAAGGCACATTGATATACCTATCAATTATTTTGCTTCCCAAATTCCTATACTTTCTTTAACCTTGATTTTTTCAATAGACCTTATCGCTATTTGGAAATCTGCACTGCTTGACCCGAGAATCTGCGCCTGTTGAACTATTGACATCATACAACAATCACTTTTCCATTGTGGCGTCAGTTATTTTCTATTGTGATGTCAAAATTTTACAGGGACCTTTGTGATGTCCAGTAATGGCAGACAAATAGCGATAAGGTGTATGCTAATTTAGGCCCACAGCATATTCTGTCTTTTGAAAGAAAACAATTAAAATTTTATTTATATGTCTGTTAGAGTTAGATTGTCTGTTAGAGTTAGATTGGATTTAATTTTAATGTTTGATATGTTTTTTTTTTATTTTACAGCTGTCGTCCCAACTTGGAATCTTGGTCCTGTTTCCACAGCTCTACCTGCTGTTATCCCTCATAGTCAGCCACAGACCGGGAATAAGTCCACATCTGTCAGCAGTAAGTTTCATGATAAATTTCAAAACATGTAAATTTCAGTCAGCCAATCAGATATATATTTAGGCTCCTGATTTTAATATTCAACAGGATTCTGAATTAAAGATATTTAATCAAATGACACACTTACAGTATCAAACAGCTTTTTAATCCAACAACCAACTTTCACATGGAATTTGCCCGTTAAATGAAAAAAGAAAATGTTTTAGTGATCAAGTCTGGTAGCAAATCCATCACTACATTGACAGAACTTTGATTACTATATAATTTTCCTTCTGCACAGCTGCCATTAGAGAAATTTGAAAAATAAGTAATTTAAATGCATGCAATATTCACCATTACCTTAAGATAAATATATAATTATATGAGGAGTTCAAATTTTATTTTCTCTTTTGAATTATAAATTATGTGACTATTATTTCTATTTTTAGAATCAGTTCTGATTGGTGGAGTAGTTGGAGGTATTATTTTTATACTGATTATTGGAGTTGTCGTGGTTGTGGCTTGCAAACGCCATCGCAACAATCGACAGTATATTGGACGCCTCTTATTGGACACTGATGATGACACTGATAATGTTATTTAAATGAAAAGGAGGCTGGGAGATGAAAAAGAGTCTGGGTTAAAAAGGACAGGATAAGGACTCATCTCATGTGATTTAGAAGCATCCTTAGTATCAATTAATAAAAACTTCCTTTTGAACCCAACTGTTGAGGAAGTTAGCCTCATAAATAACTCTGATGTATAATGGTGGTTCAAAAGGAAGTTTATCATTTTTACATTTTTCAGATTTTAAGGACTTTTTGTGAGATGCTTTCTGAATTTAGTTTCAATGGTTATTTTTTCTAAAATTTATTTTGTATATATGAGGGTTGAATTTTTTTGTTTGTTACTAAGATTCCAAATTTTTTGCCGATGTGTTGTATATAGCACTTTTAGTCAGTTTGTTTTCGATCTATGAGTTTGACTGTCCCTCTGGTATCTTTCGTCCCTCTTTTAGAACCAATGCCACTAATCGGCTATGGTATTTAGTAAGATTGTCCTTGGATCAGACTTAAATATATTTTTTGTCCATTTTTATTACTTTGAGCTGGAAGATGTTGAGCTGATGATGTTATGTAGTTAGAATTACCAACTCCCTCATGCAAATAAAGTTCTAAGTTATTTTTGGGGAGGCTGATTTATATAGGAATCACACTGTCTTTCTGTTCCTCAATTCACCGTTTCAGAATCTAATGAATTCTGGGTAATATTTTCAAAAGCGTACACCGACGCGTTGTGATTGGTTTCAAACGTTCTAAACAATGGAAATTCAATGAAATGTAATGTTATTTTTATTTTGGTGTACAAACAATGAGATTACCCAGAGTCCTTTAGATTCTGATAGGGTGAATTAGTCTGTCTGTCTGTTTGTTACTCTGTCTATCCATGTGCTTTGTAATGGCAACTCCTCCTTAATGTCTGCTTGTTACTCTGTCTATCCATGTGCTTTGTAATGGCAACTCCTCCTTAATGGATAGACATATTTTAATGAACTTTACACAGGGGAGATAACATATTAAAGGGGAGATAACATATTAAAGGGGAGATAATCAAATTAAAGGCGAGATAACATATTAAAGGGGAGATAATCAAACTAAAAAGGAGATAACATATTAAAGGGGAGATAACATGTTAAAGGGGAGATAATCAAATTTGCAGGACAGGGGTATTCTTTTCTGAGTTCACTCACAGTCCTAAATTGAACCATGATTGTTAAATTGAATTATGAATTTTTATGTCTACCCATCTTATCAAGAATATATATTGATTAAAATAGGTTAAGCAACATATGCCTTAATTTAAAAACTTTAAAATGAAAGTTTCCAAGTTTTAATCTATAAGGTTAATTGTTTGTTGAGTAAACTATGCACCTTATTCTTTATTTTCTTTGTGACAGAAATTTATCATGTTTATAGAATTAAAAATATTTGTTGCTAAACTTTTGTTACTCAGTTTATTTTGGAAAAAGGATATATATGCTTTTAAAGTCTGGTGTTGGTTGTTGTGGTGATCTGTTGTAATGTCATATACATTTGGTATTTAGTGTTATCCTCTATGTTTTTTTAACTGATGTTTATATCTAAGTCGTGTAAAATCATTTTTCTATGTGCAATAAATAGAGAATATCATATGGCTTTTTCAATATCACATCCGTATCAACCCGAGACACCAATATAATCAAAAGAGCTCTGCTCGAGGGATTATATTGGTTGAGGGTTGATACGGTGTGTGATATTGAAAAAGCCATATCATATACACTTTATTATATACATATACCTCACGTAAATGTTTTTTATGTGACACGAAGTCATACAGATAAGGAGGTTTGAAATGATGTCATACAGATTACAGGTTTGACATGACGTCATACAGATTAGGGGTTTGATAAAGCCTTTGCAACAGTGACTGCAATCGATGAAGTGACGTCATACAGATTTAAGGTGTGATAAAGCCTTTGCAACCGTGACTGATATCGATATCATCACGGGTGGCTGATACAGCACGCTTGCCAATGATTGTATTACACATACAATTTATCTGTATTTACTACTAAGTATATAATAATGTATTTAAATGTATTTGTTAAAACTTCGTTACTCCTTAATTTAATGTAAAAAAATTTAGTAACTCCTTGATTTAATGTTAAAAAATTTAGTAACTCCTTGATTTGATGTTAAAACTTCGTTACTCCTTGATTTAATGTTAAAAAATTTAGTAACTCCTTGATTTAATGTTAAAAAATTTAGTAACTCCTTGATTTGATGTTAAAACTTCTTTACTCCTTGATTTAATGTAAAAAAATTTAGTAACTCCTTGATTTAATGTTAAAAAATTTAGTAACTCCTTGATTTGATGTTAAAACTTCGTTACTCCTTGATTTAATGTTAAAAAATTTAGTAACTCCTTGATTTAATGTTAAAAAATTTAGTAACTCCTTGATTTGATGTTAAAACTTCGTTACTCCTTCATTTAATGTTAAAAAATTTAGTAACTCCTTGATTTAATGTTAAAAAATTTAGTAACTCCTTGATTTGATGTTAAAACTTCTTTACTCCTTGATTTAATGTAAAAAAATTTAGTAACTTCTTGATTTAATGTTAACAAGTTTAGTAACTCCTTGATTTGATGTTAAAACTTTGTTACTCCTTAATTTAATGTAAAAAAAATTAGTAACTCCTTGATTTAATGTTAAGAAATTTAGTGACTCCTTGATTTAATGTTAAAAAATTTAGTAACTCCTTGATTTGATGTTAAAACTTCGTTACTCCTTGATTTGATGTTAAAACTTCTTTACTCCTTGATTAAATGTTAAAAAATTTAGTAACTCCTTGATTTGATGTTAAAACTTCGTTACTCCTTGATTTAATGTTAAAATATTTAGTAACTCCTTGATTTAATGTTAAAAAATTTAGTAACTCCTTGATTTAATGTTAAAAAATTTAGTAACTCCTTGATTTGATGTTTAAACTTAGTGACTACTTGATTTAATGTTAAATTTACTAACACCTTGATTTAATGTTAAAAAAGTTAGTAACTCCTTGATTTAATGATAAAAAATTTAGTAACTCCTTGATTTGATGTTAAAAAATAAGTAACTAGTTAATGTTAAAACATGGGAACTTATTGACTTAATGTTTAACATGATTCTTAGCATCTGTTGAAATTAAAATTGCTGATGAAAGATTAAAGATTTATAAATGATCATGTATAGATAAGACTGCATCATTGTTGCAATTTTAATTTTGACAACTGTACAAATTGTAAAAAGCTTTTTTAACAAAACAGAAAGAAAACTTTATTTTTTGTTTGTTGAAAACTTAAGTTTAGAAGGTATATGTTATTATTTTTGTTAACATCGTTTAAAACAATCATGAATTTATTGTAACTTTGAAGCATAAATGTACATATATTTATTGAATTACACAAATGATAGAATGTCATATGATTTGATGATGAAAAGAAATATGAAATTGTAAAAAAATCTTCAGATGTTGATTTGCTTTACAATATATTGTAAACAAGCTTAAGGGAAAATTCAAGGCCGTCTGTTGCTATGGTTTTGATATTTGTGACAGTTTTATTTTTGTAGTAAAAAGACAGTTTGCCAAAAATAAGATGTCATTAAATGCAAAATATGACAAAACATCACTTACATCTTGTATTTTAAAAACAAAATCCCATATACAGTACCATGAATTCTTTTCTAGCTATTAGTATAGAAACAAATTGTTTGATTGATTTTTGCTGTCATGTTTTTGTTAGCCATATACTGAAGAACAATTATTTTGTCTTTGAGATTAATAAACAGGGGTACAATGTCATAAATGTAGGCATAATTTTTATTTTACTAGATATTTTTATTTGACAAAATGCATAATATTATGATCTGATCATATAACATTAAGGAAGAGTCGAGTTTACATGTCATTATAATACTGAATATTGAATTTATTTAACAAATTATTTTCTTGGACTTTTGAACAAATTTGTGAGATATTAACCTCTGGTTAGGTTTTTTTTCTTCAAATAATGTGGGTTCAATATAATTCATACATAATAGACTATTTTCATATTACCAACTTTCGACTCCGGATTATATAATTTGTCGACTGGTTACCTTGGACATCATGGTACCAAGTCAGGTAAGAGCAAGCTAAAGAAGTAAAACCAAGCTTTCAATCGGTACAATTTTGGGGGAAAATTACCTGCTTAACATTTTTTTTTCACTACAAAATCATCAGAAAACAGTAAACTTTCCCCTCAAATTACACCGATTATATGTTTGATTTTACTTATTTTGGTTGCTCTTACTTGACCGAGTACCATGATGTCCAAGGTAACCAGTCGACAAATTATATAATCCGGAGTCAAAAGTCGGTAATATGAAAATAGTCTATTGGATACCAATTATCATGGATTGGGTTGGTATAGGTAACCACTTATTTAAATGTTTAACGAAGTACAAATATTCTATTTGTTTGTATGCATGCAGACCGAATAAATGAAACATCCAGGAAAATACAATTTTTCTTCAATCCTTGAAAATTGGTACATGTATTCACAAAAATAAATAAATTGACAGTAGATACAAATAAGTATGGAGTTGAGTTACTATAAATTCAGAAATTATAGCATGCATTTATTATTGCGATTTTGAAGAATGGACCAAATGCGAGATTAATTATTGCGATTTCAGGAAAATATGCATACAGATTTGTGTATCAGATGTCAGAATGTGAGTTCTTATTATTGCCATCATCACCCAATTGCATTATTTTCGCATTAATAAAAACCTTGTAATAATTTCTGAATTTACGGTATATTGAGAGTAGATCTGTGCAGTGTTTTTGGACTGTTGTTTGTGTTAAACCTTCCCTATTGGTCATCATATTGGCTATCTTCTTTAGTCTTCTCTTGTTATCATCTTACCTGTTGTTACAGTTGCTTCTAAATGTTAATAAGTTAAATATATTGACCGTATTAAATACACTTTCAAAGATTGAGTGAAATGTGCTGTTTTTTTAAAAGAACTTAGCAGTCTTACATTATTATGACATATGGAGTTGGTTGTTAATCAAAGCTAAATACTTCTGTGTCTACATGAACCTTGATCATGAACTGTAATGGAAACTATGAATATTTTATGTGATTAAGGAACCAATACAGATACAAAATTTACATAAAGATAAATACTAGAACACACCCATGGGTCTGTGATTGAATTAAAGTACCTACGCCTTGTTTTTAGCCTGGATTTTTTTGTAATCATATTGTCATCTGATAGAAGTCATACTGATTATAAGGTGCACAGTTTTCTCTGCTTTCAAAATCTTTCTGTTTGAACCCAGCCTGGTTTTCGTACAACCATACAACTGGAAACTACATGTGACATATACAATTGTTATCAATATTGGATTTGACCCGGAACTTGTTAATTACTGGTAATATTAATTATGTGGAAAACAAAAGGGCTTGGAATGGTGTAATTTTTAATCAACACCATTATCCTATATTAGTTAAGGAATGACTGTAATACTTTTTCTGTCTATGAAGAAATAACATCAAAAACACTGCACAGATCTACTCTCAATTTATTAGAAATTCAGAAATTATTACATGCATTTATTATTGCGATTTTAAAGAATGGACCAAAATGCGAGATTAATTATTGCGATTTCAGGAAAATATGCATACAGATTTATGTATAAGATGTCAGAATGTGAGTTCTTATTATTGCCATCATCACCCAATTGCATTATTTTCGCATTGATAAAAACCTTGCAATAATTTCTGAATTTACAGTAAATTGAGAGTAGATCTGTGCAGTGTTTTTGGACTGTTGTTTGTGTTTAACCTTCCCTATTGGTCACCATAGTGACTTTATTCTTCTCTTGTTATCGTCTTACCTTTTGTTACAGTTGCTTCTAAATGTTAATAAGTTGAATATATTGACCATATTAAATACACTACCAAAGATTGACAGAAATGTGCTGTTTTAAGAACTTAGCAGTCTTACATGATGATGACATATGGAGTTGGTTATTATTCAAAGCTACATACGTTTTTGTCTGCATGAACCTTGTTCATGAACTGTAATTGAAAGTTTTGAAACTAAGAAAATTTTCATGTGATCAAAAACCAATACAGACGCATAACTTACATATAAATAAATATTAGAAAAAAATAAAAATTGTTTAACCATATACATGAGATCTGTCATTTTTTGGATTCCTTATTTAAGAAATACTGACATTGTCTCCCAGTGGTCATAATTGAACTACTTTTACTATTTGACATATTTTATAGGTGTTTCCTTTAGTTCTGATTTCAAGGGTTGTGTGTTTATATTTTATAAGTTTTTCTTTTTAGATCTGAACTTCTATATATTTATAAATTACTTGTTTTATTGTAATTTTGTTAAATAGATCTAAGTCTCAAAATTTCAGGAAAGTTGTTATTGTTGCAGCAGTATGATATAAATGGAGAATGTTGATATTGTTGCGTTCATCAATATTACTTGATCAGACAAAATTTGAATTTATCTCACAAAAGTTTGAATCATTGTTTTTTTAAACTTGAATCATAACAGATAAAGGCTTGATGGCTTATATGCCTAATTAATTTCAAGAAACATTTCATTTCATTTATTAATCATACTTACAATCAACCATTTTGTTATTACTTTCTTTTGATTATGTTTTTGAAATAGTTGATTTGTTATAACTAGCAATGTATAAATAATCTTTTAACAAAAATCACTAGTCAGTAAACACTGAGGTTGTGGAATCCTGCACATGGCAGGTGTGTTTGACTCAAATCTTCTTTCACTAGGATTGTCAGTTTTCCTACCAAATGTCGGTGGTTCTCTTTGGGCACTCCTGCTTCCTCCACAAATATTGTTGTATCAATGCTAAACATATGGTCATTTTATAGAAAATCCACTGACTTTCCCCCTGTACTCTAATATTTGACAACTCAGAGCTTGATAGATGGAGGATTATTGCCTGCAGTGCTAGCAATGAATTCCTTTAATTAGTTTATGAATTAAGATTTTGGTGAAAGCAAATATAAATATGGTCCATTTCAAGTACACCTTCTAGGATTCGCCTGACTTTAGTGACTCAGCACAAGGTTTTTTGGAATGTAAAGGTTGTTTATGATTTTTTGTAAACAATAAATGCTAGCACATCATGGACAAATAAGTGAGTAATCTATGTTTAAAATTTTATAACGAAAATCTCTGTATGTTTTGTGTACACTTTTTTGTTATTGTTTGTATGATATTATAGGTTGTTTTGATATGAAATCATGTTAACAACAGAAATCCATTTCCGTATTTCTATATGTATATGTATTGTTAATTGGTTCCCATCCTGAACATGCATGAAATATTTGCCTCTGGACGTTAAGTAACCAACAATCAATCAATCAATCTATATGTATAAATTCAAACCACTAAACATACATGATAATGTTCAATAAAACCATACTTTAGAAGGGAAGGCACTTCAAAATATCATTTATGGATTGGAGATTTTGAAAACTGAAATGTAAGAGTAATTCCAAAGTAACCTCTATAAGTTAGTACCCCTTTTTCAAAGTGCCTTTTCTTGGTACCATGTATGTTTTAGTGGAATAGCAGGATTGATTTGGAAGATAAATTTGCAGTTTGTAATAATTTCTTTGTTTGTAAGCTTATATGGATTAACATAAAATATTTGCAGTGTTTTGTTGGTGATTTTCATTTAATCACTAAATTAAGCAAAAGTAATCAATAATAATCTTCTCTATTGTATTTACATGTGTGAAACTAGTCTACTATGATCTTGGAATGAAATCTGCTATCATTTGTATAACATTCAAACATATTAAAGGACGTAGAACGACTTTTTGTGTTCTCAACATTACTAAAGTACAGTCAAAGCACAAGTTAGGAACAGTTGAAGAGATTTTAGTCTAGTTTCATGTTTTCAGTTATGTAAAAAAATACTTTTGTCTGAACATAATGATGTCATAAAGTTGTTTATATTTTTTCTTGCTTTAATTTATAATTTTATAATACTAACAACATGTTATTCAAGAGTGATATGTAACTAGTTATTGTATTTGATTTTAATTGTTTAAATATGATTGTTCTCTTTGTAAAGAAATTTCCTCATCACTGGTTCACCTTGTTCTCATGATAATTATGTAAGTTTCATCCAATAAATTATTGTACCTGTAGTATTGTATTTCCTTTATTTGCTCCAGCACACGAACATATGGTATGTCTGTCTGTCTGTCTGACTGTCAATATAAAAAAGAAGATGTGGTATGGTTGTCAATGTACATCTCTCCACAAGAGACCAAATGACACAGTAGCCATCTTGACCATATGTTGTTTGTTATGTTAGTATGTCTGTTATTTTTGCAGAGGAGTCAGCTGTTGGTTGATATGGTACGTTTTACTGTCCAGCTTCTGGCTGTTCCAATCATCCTTGTTTTTTTTAACCAGAAGATGACTATCAGTTCCCGAGGGTATCATCAGCTCAGTAGTCAGTACTTCGGTACTGACATGATTTATAACAAACCTTTCTAAAATTATCAGTTTATAAATTTATAAATTATAATGAAACTAAGGTTTTAAATCCCTCAGGCAAAGTTGACCTTAGATGTAATTGGCTATTTTTTAGGTATTTTTTTTTTGTCATATAGCACTAAGCTCTTCTACTGTTTCTGTTCATACATCTTGGCTTTCAAAAATTCAGCTTTGAGCGTTCCTGATGAAGGTAAATCAAGAAAAGCGCTTTTGGTAGCATGATATTTTTTAAAGTGTGGTTTTCTTTTTTTTTTTCTCAAGAAATAGACTTCTGGTATAACTGTATAAGAGTGAAAGGTATCAGGCCAGTATCTTACACTTGCATCTCTTAAATGGTAGTTAAATTAAATAAGATATCAATTTTCAATTGATGCAGATATGAACAAACTAACTATAAATTAAGGATTTTAACAGTTACTTTCCTAATTAGCCCTAGGCAGATGAAAAATGAGCTATGTTGAGAGAATAATGGATTACGGTTCTTTTATTTTTATTAGGTTTAGTTGTTAACCATGTATAATAAGAGCTTGAGGTTTTAAATTTTTCATTTAAATGAACTAAATTTTGTCCATCTTCTTATTTTTGCAAATATTGTTATGCATTTCTTAAAAAATGAATGAACATTAACAGTATACCGTAATAATAACCTTTATCAATACGGCTGGTCAGCAAAGTAGAAAGATTTGAAGGAAATATGTAATTTTTGAAAAAAATATTAACATAAAGGCAACTACTTTATGCGGTTATAATAACACTTCCATAACAAATCTCTATATGTGTGATAAACGTTGCTGTTTTGAATCTATGGATATAAAAATAAAGGACAGAATGCTTTTAGACCAAAAGTTAAAACATTAATCGTACCATTCTTTACTGCACCAGATGCGTATTTCGACAATTAATGTCTCTTCTGTGATGTTCGAGACCGTAATATTTGATAATCCAAAACCTAACGCAAGCGTTTAAGATCGACCTGATATAATCCAATGTAATATTTAACCCGTACAAATTAAAGATACATGAGGTTATGCATTTTCACTTTTCCTTCGGTGCATGTATTTGATTTTATAACATTCGATAAAAAATAAGTACAAACAAAGACAATTAAACCACAACAAACACCATATGGTCCAGCAAGCACAGGTTTAAACGCGTTTAATGAAATGTACATTAAAAATGCATAACTGTTCAGCAACCAATTCCATCATGATAACTAAATTTAACAAAGTAATGAAAACAGAACAAACATCGGGAAGCAATGTTTACTGCATGAAGCTTACTGATTTAACCACGGCTGTGGGTTGAATACCTTATGTTGACCTGTAAATGACATTTCGGTTTTCTTGTAATGTTACAGTACATTTTATCACAAATATACACACCACATCTACTTTGCTTTATCAACTAGTTTAACTACAACAGTTGTTTAATACTCGGATGTACGATAGAAGCGTTTTTCGCCTCCAAAAGTTGAAGTGCATTAAGGACCCGGGCTATTCCTGGGGCAGAAAAGCCTTAGTTTTTAGAAAAATTGAAAGGTTTGTTAACAGTTAATTTATAATCATGACCATATCAATGATAATTCATGTCAACATAGAAGTGCTGACTATTAGGTTGCATAAGTATGTGTCAACTACATAACACAGTATGATTTTGTTATAAATATATTCATCCCTGTATCGAGTAGATCAGTGTGTTAACTTACTACAAAAAAAACCAACCTAGTAGTATGAAAAACTAGGAAAAAGAATAATTATTACTAAAACAGAAATACCTATCAGTTGTCATTTATGACGCAAATAAAAGACCTTCCAACCATATTAAGATTGCATCCCTAAACATTTGGATAATTGCTACGGACATTCAGCAACCAACAATTAATCCATTAAAACTGTCAACGCCATGAATTCAGCTTTGCAATTAAAAAGCTCTTGGACGAATATGTTCATTTAATGCAGCAACACTAATTTTAGAAAAAAACACTCTATAGGCAAATAAATGGAAAATTCACAATGAAACAATAAAAAATCACATCCATTAGTTCTTAACCATTATAAATTCAAAACGTTAGTTAAGGTACGAGGAGATGCAGCTGTACTGTTTACTTCAGAGTTATCATTATAGGTTATCAATAGAAAGAAAAAAAACGTTTTGCAATACAGTGTCAGTCGGCATTCATATTGAAAGAAAAACATTTCTTGGTCGACGTAAAAAGAAGCATGCAAAAAATGTTTTTTTAAGGGGCCAGCTGAAGCCCGCCTTGAGGTGTGGGATTTTCTCGCTGTGTTGAAGACCCATTGGTGGCCTTCGGCTGTTATCTGCTTTTTGGTCGGGTTATTGTCTCTTTGACATATTCCCCATTTCCATTCTCAATTTTAAATAGACAATTCAGCAATCAACGTTAAACAAAGCACGAAAGAAATTGAATACACATTAAACATGTTAAAAGATTTATTTTCAAATTTTATTATCTGACCGTTAAAGAATTATTGCAATATGTATTGCCAAAAGCACTTTAAAAGCGAATATTTTTCCTGTGGAAAATTGTGTTGTTTCTGTAATGCTATCCTTCTTTTCTCCTCCAAGTATGATTCAACAACTGAAAAAAAGACATATAAGTAGAGGTCAGTATAGTACAGAGCAGGGCATATACAGCATAAGTAGAGGTCAGTATAGTATAGTGCAAGGTATATATCGCACAACAATATGAATAAATTCACCATAAATAAAAGGTTTAAAATTTTGTACGCAAAAAGCGTGTTGCGTCTACAAAAGACTTACATGTTTAACCCCGCCGCATTTTTGCGCCTGTCCCAAGTCAGGAGCCTCTGGCCTTTGTTAGTCTTGTATCATTTTTAATTTTAGTTTCCTGTGTATAATTTGGAGTTTAGTATGACGTCCATTATCACTGAACTAGTATACATATTTGTTTAGGGGCCAGCTGAAGGACGCCTCCGGGTTCGGGAGTTTCTTGCTGCATTGAAGACCCATTGGTGGCCTTCGGCTGTTGTCTGCTCTATGGTCGGGTCGTTGTCTCTTTGACACATTCCCCATTTCCATTCTAAATTTTATTATCATTGGCGCTCGAACAAAAAAGATTAAAAACCCAAATAATGTAAGTAGATGAAGAGCAATTAGGACCAAAAATTCCGAAATGTTTTGCTAAAAACAGCTATGGTTATCTATTCCTGGGGTGACAAATCCTTAACAATTTGAAAAAAATTAATTTACTGTAAGTATTTCATTTATAATTATATCTATATAAATGATAATTCCTGCATGACACAGCAGTGTCAGTTTTGACTACCGCGCTGGTGATAACCCGATGTTGGAAGGTGTACGTTTTTGTTGTGAACAAGTTACAAGAAAATCTTAAGTCCTTTCTTGAAAATTTTGCTCTTAAGACAACAGCTGGTAACTAGTCTTTTCTATAATTAATGTATATGGAGGACTATTCAAAAATCCGATTTTGCATCAATAGAAATTAATGTAAAATACATAATAGAGCATAGTTTCTCCATTGCATTATTACAATCAAATAGACAACAAAGCTATTGGACAGGTTTGTTTTTTGTAATACAGCTTTGGTTATACAATACAACTGTCTCAAACGATTTCGTGAGGAAACATATTTTAAATTATCAATGAACATAAACATCTGTCAGAGGTGAAGCAAATTTGGTCTTTATAGTAAAAAAGGAAATAGAACGTACAATACAAGTCAGTATATGTATTACTGTTAATCAAAATCCAGAACATAGATACAGGTAAAAGTAAAACAATTGCACTCTAAATAATCGTCATCATTTTTCTCTAATTAAGTGTAGTTAGGTTGCCTTTTTTTTATTTATAGTAACTCCATTTTAAACAGAAAACCGCAAGGAAACAAAGGTAACACTTTTTTGTGTAAGAAAGCACACTTTTAAATATTTGGGAAAATTACCTTCATTTTTATTAATATTGAAAAATCTCAATGTAGAACTTTGTCCAATTTCAGTAAATGATGTACCAGTTTCTATGTATGCACTTCTTCTCGTATGGCAGGTTTGTGTACACCCGACAGAGATGTCATTCCGCAAGCAAAACGTTGCATTACACTCTACGTAAACGTTGTCCTTACTGTTTTGGAATTCGAAAGCACCGAACTCAAACTTTGTTTCATGTATTGATTGGGTCAAGAGTTTCGTCGTTGAATCAGTTGCACATCTTAAACGAAAAATAATATTTCATGTAATTCAATGAGAACAACACATTTGTTAGTGAAACTGTGATCTGGTTTAATGAAAAACAAGACAAGTGAAATAATTGGAGTGGTATCTGTTTACTTTATCTGTATAACTGAGATCATCCCCGTTTTTTTTTGTTGGTGTTATGTATTCAGTTGTCTATGTAATGTTTTTGTTTTGTTTTTTATTACCATAGTGTTGTCTGTTCCTATTTGACCTATTTGACCTATCAATTTTGAATGTCCCTTTGTAATTTCGGCCTTTTTTTTTTAACTAACAAAATTAATTACGACAGTGATTTGATAGACAGTTTAATACGCATCGTTTTTTACTTACAACATAACTATTATCACTTAATAACAAACATTGACCTAGTTTTAAATGTCACGTTCTGTAAAATGAAATCCATGTTAAAGAGA